CTAATCAACCCCAATCTTTTCCCAACCGTTGCACCTTGTTTTTGGGTATAAAAAGGGGTCTCTTGGGTCTACTTTTCATATCCATTCCTCACACATTTCATAGCTTTACATTGCATCATTCCATAAACTTTTTACATAGCTTTTTAGAGCCATTTCTTGAGGAATTGAGTGTGTTCTTGATCTAAATTAGTTTACTCATATTCTACTCTTTAAGAGAGTTTTTGTTCTTGAGTGGTTAAGTGTTGTGAACACTTTAAGGGAGGTTTGTTCCCTTGGTTGTGCGAAGGAAGGGCATATTCCTTCGAGTTGAAGTCTTGGAGTGCAGTATCTCCGAGCAAGTGTATTGAGGCTCGTGGGACTCGAGTTCTCAGGTTGTAACGGTTTGTTAAGCACCCGTAAGCTTAACGGAAGTAGTGTAGCTCGAGAGAGTCTCTTGGGAGACTGGACTAGCCACACGTTGTGGTGAACCAGTATAAATCTTGGTGTGCTCTCTTTACGCTTTTTTTCGCTCTTTACTTTTTACGTTCTTTACTTTATCCCTGCGATTTTTATTCCGCGAAAATTTATAAATATTCTCGTGCCTCACTATTCACCCCCCTCTAGTGAAGGGCACCTATTCTAATAGTCGGGCCCAACCTTGGGGCCCAATCTTCCATTTAAGCCCACCTATGCGGCGAACCCAACCCACCAAATGGCTAAGTGCACCGCCCAACTAGCCAATCATACCAGTCTGACCGGGCGATTGGGCCGTCCCACCGCTCTAGGCCATTTTATTGATCTAGGTGCCCTGGACGTTGACCCATTCAGACCCTTCGGTTTCTATTCCTTAAGTTCTTTATAACCTGCCTAGCACCTCTTGTCAATTCACCCTTCATGCATTTTCATCTTTAACCCTTGATAGTTTCATATCTCTTCTTTGTCATGTCTGTAGAGGCATCCACTTCTCTGAATCTCTCAGACGGCCCTTCTCCTTCCTCACTTGAGCCCGTCTCTTCCCTGAAGTCTGTCAATTCTAACGATTGGGCAGGACTAGACCCTTATGAACTCTACCTCCGTCTCCCTTGCTGCAGCTGGCCCATGGTGATGTCAAAGGAACCAATTCAACCACAAACTCAAGCTTGTGGTTGTGGCCCAGGAATGATTATTTATCTTCTAACACGCCCCCTCACGTGCAGGCGTAGTCTTTTTTCGAGCCTTGCACGTGAAACCTTAATTTTTTTAAACTGGGTGGCGCGGAGTTTCGAACCCGTGACCAAGTCAACGAGGCTCTGATACTATGTCAAAAGGAACCAATTCAACCACAAACTCAAGCTTGTGGTTGTGGCCCAAGAATGATTATTTATATTCTAACAGGTGAAGCCGCCGTCAATTCCTCCGAATCCGTACTATGACTTTACCAAGGCCAGCAAGGTGCTTATGGCCAATCGCCTCCCTTATGGGGAGATAGGTTGGGAAACTTCCTGCCCCATCCACGAGAGGCATTATGCGGTCTCGAAGAATGTCAGGACGAGCATTTGCCCCTCTTGGAGCAAGATGTGGAATACTACTTGGGTCTGGAACAATGGACCCGCGAGAGTCGCACCAACTCGCCGGAGCTGGGTCAACCTGTTGTTGCGGAGGAAGAGCCAGGTCCCTCTTGGCAACTATTGGATGGCCCCTCCCCTCATTAGGAGTCTCCTAAGTGACTTGGAGTAGCTCCTCCTTCCCCTGTCCCTTCATCTTTGTCGGGCGATAACACCAATTAGGCCGATTAGGGCTCACAATGACAAAAACTCACTTCTTCTCTACAAGGAAGGAGAAAGAAGGTGGGTGTTTGTCACTGGTGGTGGGGAAAAAGTGGACGAACTCATTCGTTAGGTAAGGGTAGTGGTGCTAATAATTGGGCCTGATGCGGCCACAGAACTACCCTTCACCCTTTCTTCCTCTTCTTCCCGCTTCAGCATGCATTCCGCAAGGCGAGCTAGGCTAATATCTGCTTTACGTTACTCTTTTTTGTCATCGCAAATATGTGGATGTATCTCGTATGAATGTGTCTTAATGTAATGGATGTTTCCATGAATATGATGTGTAATGAATGTATGATGTGAATGGGTGTTTCCATGAATGTATGGTGTGTAATGGGCGTTTCCATGGTGTTACCTGTCTGATTGATTTCTGACAAGTCTTACCATATCTCTAAACTTAGCTTATTTTCTTGTTCAAGTGTTGTCCCTAGTGGTCAGGTCGCTTCACCCTTCGGGTGAGCAGGGCTGTCAACGGATAGCCGAAAATCCGATTACCGTCCGCATCCGTATCTATATCTGTTTAAAGAGGAAATATCCGCATCCGCTTTAAACAGATATTATCTGTATCCAAATAAGGATATATCCGATTAATAAACGGATATGGATTTTATAATTGTATATTCGATCCGTTTAAAATCTGATCCGAATATGCATCTGTTTGAATAACTGTTTATCTGAATATCTGATCCGTTATATGTATGTCAGCTCCTCGCAATATATATTTTTTCAACTCAGCTCCTCGCAACACTCTAGCCACATAATACACGGGTCGCTGTATGTCCTCCTCTTTCTTCACTAGCACTAGGCTCACAGCCCGAGGAGAGATACCCAGATACATGTACAAAGTCTCCCCCGGCTCTGGATTCGAAAGCACCAATGGCGAAGGAGGTAAGCCTTTAACCCTTCAAAAGATCGATGGCATTCTTCTGTCCAAATGAACCCCTTGCTCTTTTTGATGGTTTGGAAGAACAGCGCCACTCAATCATCTATTTTTGACAGAAATTTGCCAAGAGCAGGGATTACTTCCCGTTAGCTACTGAACCTCCTTCACATTCCCTGGAGGTTCCATGTCCAATATCGCCTTAACTTTCTTTGGGTTGGATTCGATACCCCTCCGACTAACCATATGCCCTAAAAAACTTACCACCTTGTACACCGAACGTAGACTACTTCGGGTTGAGGCGGAGCTGGTACCTTTGAATGATCTAGCTTGAACACCTTCTCTAAGTCCTGCACGTATAATGCCATCTGTTTTGATTTGACGATCATGTCGTCCACATACGCTTCTATGCATCTCCCTTAGATCGTTGCAAATAGCTTGTTGACCATCCAGGCGTAGGTTGCCCCGACGTTCTTCAACCCGAATGACATCACCCTGTAATAATAAACTCCGTTTGGAGTAATGAACAAAGTCTTCTCTTCATCACCTACTGACATCCTTATTTGGTGATATCCACTGAATGCATCATAAAGCTCATTAACTCACACCCCGCCGTTTCGTCCACCAGCTGATCGATATTCGGTAGAGGGAATGGGTCCATTGGGCATGCTTTGTTTAGGTCGGTGTAATCGACGCACATCTGCCAGATATTCCCTTTTGGTGCAAGGACTACATTATCCAACCATTCTGGATATCAGACCTCTCGGATATGCCCAATGGACTGCAGGGTACTTACCTCCTTTGTCACAAAGTCTCTCCTCTTCAAAGAGAGGAAATGCTTCTTCTGCTTGACCGGCGTGTGTGCCAGGTCGACCACCAGCCGGTGGCAGATTAATCATGAGTCGACCCTAGGCATGTCCTCTGGACCCCACGCAAATAGAACCTTGAATGATCGAAGGACGCTCACCAACTGTCCCTTCTGCTCCCATTGTAGGGTCTTGCCCACCTTAACCTTTTGCTCCAGTTTCGCCAGGTCCTAGGTAACTTCTCCCACTTCTTCTACCGGCTCTACCCTAGCCCGACCTTCTTCCCTCTAGTTGGCAGCATAGATCGTACTGACATTTGCATCGATCCGTGCATAACTCTTGGTCGCCCTAACAAAGCACGACCACGACAAGCTATGGTTCCCTCTGGCCACACCTACCCCTGTGGGGGAGATTACGCACTCTAGATCTTCCAGACCTGACCACCAAGCTGCACTACCATGAATTCTATGTCGAGCCAGAGTCGGTGGATGTCATCTCCTACCCCAGCCTTTATCGTGATTGTCCATTCCGCCTCAATCGTATCCCTAGTAAAACCAAACAATGGGGTACGAATCGGCTTTAGATATGCTCGAGACAAGCCTAGCTCCTTAAAGGTATTGTTGTACGTGATATTGACTGAGCTGCCTGTATCGACCAATGTCCGATGAACCACCACATTATTGATCTCCACCTTTATCACCATCGCATCCCAATGGGGACTAGGCACCGGCAGATAGTCTTCATTAGTGAAAACTATCGGTTCTCTCTTCTTCTTCTTCTTGGGCAGCGGTGGCACCGAGCTCCTCGAGTATTACCATATTCCTCCACTTTTTTCGTGGGGGACACCGAGCTCCTCGAGTATTACCTCCCATGATAAATCGACACCCCAAATGACTTCAATTCTTCCTTTCATCCTCATCAAGATCTTCACTGTCTTTTCCCAAATGCCTTCTTCCATCTATGTGTCCCTCCCTGTTTGTGATCGCAGCGGCGGCTTCAGTCGGTCTCCTCCATATCCTGTTTCCGCGTGCTTGCCGCTCCGCTCAGGGCGGTGGTTCTCTAGTTATCAGCTGATCCATCTACTTCTTCAGCGTAACACACTCCGACGTATTGTAAAATTATTACACCCTCCGTCCCACTTGTATCTCAAACTTAAAACAATATTATAATACAAAATTTTAAAATATCTAGAATTTATTTCTTTTATTATTTTCAAAATTAAAATAAATTTTAATTTTGAATATAAAATTTTGTCATCTACTCCCTCCGTCCTTGAGTATTTGTCTACATTTGACTTTTTTCGGTCAAAATTAGTAAACTTTGACCTCAAATTAAATAAAAATGATATTAGGTATTGATAAAAAAAGAGTTTTCTTAGATTTATTATATCAAATACTTTTGAAATATTATTTTATTTCATTAAAATACAATATATATTTTCTTTAATTATAGGTCAAAGGCTGAAAACTGTTGACCGAAAAAGTCAAAACTGGACAAATACTCAGGGACGGAGGTAGTATTATTTAATATTAATATAAATGCATTAAATATTATTATTATTATTACATTTAATGACAATTAAATTTCCATTAAACTTTTAATTTTCTAAGTATTATACCAATATGAATTTTACCATTTATGTATTTTAATATAAATAATTATTTTATTAGTTTAGATAAATAATAAAATAATTTAAATTTCTTCTTTGAAAAATTATAATAGTAGCCTTCTTCTTCAATATGGTCATTGCTTTTGAATAGCAATAGTTATGTTTTAAAATAATTTTTTCATACGTGTGTTCCACATTAAGCTTATTGTTTTTGAGAAATAAAAAATTATTGTGTAAATTAAAAAAATAAAATGGTATAGTGCATATTGTATAATACTGATTTGAAAATGGAAATTTTTTTCCAAAATAGACGATATTTGAATGTAATAAATGAAAGTTATATTAATTATTGAAAAATTAAAACAACAATTTCCAAAGTTTTAAATTTATAATTTTTTTGAAAAATAATAAAATGAAATAAACGGTAGATAGTTTTAAAAAATTATATAATATTTCTCTAGATTAATAAGGTTTATACATTTTTTTAGTAAATTTCATAAAAGGTCCCCAATTATAGTTCGTTTTACATATTTAGTCCCTACATATCAAATATCAATAATTTAGTCCCCAATTATTATATTGTTTTCTACGAATGGTCCTTTGTTAACATTTCCGTTAAAATATGGATAAAATGGTAAATTCACACTCTGTTCTCTCCTCGCACTTTCTTCCCAAACCCGTCGCTGAGTTTGAAGCTTTGAACTCAAAATCGAAATCATCCCTCCTCTTTCAATTGTTCGTCTTCCTGGTAAAATCCAAAATCGAATCGGTAACCTTCATGAATGAGTTTTAAGGTTTGTTTTCTTTGTAATTTTCTAAGACTAACCCATACAATTCATCCATGAAAGTCATTGGTTTCAATTTTGGGTTCCACTAGAAAGATGAACAATTGAGAGAGGAAAGATCGTTTCGGTTTTGGGTTTAGAGCTTCAAACTCAGCAACGAGTTTGAAAATGAGTAAGAGAGGAGGAAGGAAGTTTGATTGAAGAGAGAAGCGTGAATATATAATTTCATTCATGTTCTTAACAGAAATATTAACAAAGGACTATTTATAGAAAATAGTACAATAATTGGGGAGTAGATTATTACGGAGTAATATTTAATATGCAAGGACAAAAATGTATGAATTTTTTGTATGAATTTTTTGTAAGATTTTTTTTTTTTTTAGAATTATGCGTCACGCTATGGATTGATGGATTTAGTTGAGCCGTTGAGGGAGTCTATATATACTGGAACCACCCTTTTACCAATTCCGATGCATTCGAGGCAAAAATTTCATTGTACGCTCCCAAATCTCACTGTATAGTTCGAACTCAGATCCGATTGTTAGCTCCCATGGCGACTGGCTTAGCCTTTTCTCCTATTTCAGGTAAATCCATGTAGTTCCATTTCTTCTATATCTCTTTTCAGCTGTATTTCTTTCGTTTGTTCAGCTGTTGTTTCAGTTCCTTAAAACTCTAATTAAGCGGCATGGAGTGATTCTCGTTACTATTTCTGGCGAAGTGAGAGAAACTTTCGTAGCAGATTGGGACCTCATTAATTATTATTTGCTTTAAGATTGTTTAGCTTTCAGCATTATTAAAGCTCTTTAAGACTTTAACCTCTTTTGCGATGTAATTATAAAATATGGATTTGTGTACAAACGACAACCTAGTTGTCTATCAGACCATACCTATTGTATGATTAATGAATCCCATCCCACATTACTGAGTTCTCACAGGATTTTTTATGACCCTATCTGATAAATATGGAATTTGAAGTATGATTTATAAGAAGTGTAGGTCTGGCTAAACCTTTGATGAATATAATTTATTGGTTCGACATGATTTTTGCACTTTTGTAGTTTTCTATGAACCTGAGATTCGAACCTCCTAGTGTATACTCCAATAGTCAAATGTGGAAGCTCGCAACATCTCTTTCTTCTAAATGAATTCCAATCATACACTTTATTTTTCAACACTTTTCTTGAACCCCCCGAAGTCAAATCATCAATTTAATTGTTGGATGGAGGAAGAATATGTTATTTTTAAACCAGCCATTTTTAATTATTTAGAGTAGTAAATGGTAGAAACCACTTTTATATGTGGTGTTGACGTAGAAGGTGTTGATGTGATAAGTCTCTGATTGTTTACTATGTTTCGAATACTAGCTTTTTAGAATAATACACAAACTCAATGGTAACACACTATTTCATAGATACAATTTAGTACTACCCATGTCCCACAATGAAAAGGTTAGTTCGGTTTAGGATACTAATGTTATTTTTACTTCAACTTATTTCAAAATTGGTGTAGAAATTATATGTTTTAATACTACGTCAAAAGATTAATAAGACAAGAGGTGTCATGACTATTATTTTTTCAAATAAAAAAATGGAATAAATTTTGACGCTATGAATAACGAATTGGACTTTGATTTTGGTACTAAGGGTGTATTATTATATAATACAAATTAAGTAATAATGATTCTCATCTTATAGGTCCAGCTCAGGTCAAAATTCGTGGAGCTTGGTCTGTTAAGTCCGCTTCGCTGGAGAAGACACCATCTTTGAGAATTCCAAGAAAATCGATTCATCGGAGAACCAATAACTTATCTGTTCGTGGACTCTATAAGTATGTCGATCGTATAGTTAGTTCACGTAGCACATATAGATTGAAAGATTTCTGAATGTTGCATGGAGTGGAATGAGCGTATTAAGTTGTTCAGTGTAACTCTTATTTTATTAAGTAGGTCAATTGTTTTCCTTTGACAAAGCCACCTAAGTTACGCTGTGTTTGTATTGCAGAGTTTTCAACAACAAACCTAGAATTGTTAAATATTTTTTCAATTGGAGAAAGAATTGAAATTTTCATTCAAATACTTTAAACTTGCAATCTAGGTAATTTCATTTGCAGCTATTTGGTATCAGGGGTTTCAGTCTTATACTTTTATTGGTGATTTGGTGCTTATCTTGATGTTTTGCCATTTTATCATAGAGAATATTGTAGCTGCTTTTCTTTTATGCAAGAACAGTGAAAAAGTACTTAGCCACAAGAAAATTGTATGCTTTGCTCAGTTTTCATTTAAATATCAGTATACACGTTCAGATCTATGTATTACTTTTGTTCTTTATATTCTTCTTAGAAATAATGATTCGCTAGTAATATCCCCCATGTTTTCTATTATGTGAGAATCTAATATTGTTAACCATTTTTTCTACTTTACTTAATGTTTGCTGGTCATAGATGATAGAAAGGACTTCTTGTACAATGTACATGCAGTTAAATTCTTTTTAGTGCAGTTTTCACGCTAATGGTATCCTTCAGCCTTCTCCTACTAGTGCAGTGTTCAGAATAATTGTATCCTTCAGCCTTCTCTGTACAGTCAAGTGATTGCTTATTAGGATTAATCTTAGTTTATTACTACCTCCATCCCAAGATAAACTAAACACTTTCTTTTTTGCTCGTTCCCAATATAAGAGCCCTTTTCCTTTTTTGGTAAGGAATATGTGGCCATCATTATTAAAATTAATTCCAATCACTTATTTCATATTTAAACATTTTTTTAAACTCTGTGACTGGTCAAAGTGAATTCTTACTTTTGGATGGGTGGAGTATGACATCTTGATTTCTTGAATTACCCGCAATCCTTATGCTATCAAATGTCTGTTTATATGTGTTCTTTAGCAAATAAATAGCTTATGTAGTGTTGCAGCTAGAGTCATTTTATCCAACTGTCTTCACATGTATATATTATCAAAATCTTTTTTTTTTCATTTAGTGAAAATAGAGGTGGTGGTGGAGGTGAATTCATTTCAGGGTTTCTCTTGGGAGGTGCAATTTTTGGAGCACTTGGCTATGTTTTCTCCCCACAGGTGATTATACATTTCTCTTTGGCCTCTATGTAGGTTTGACCAAAAAATTACACTATTTTTATCATGGGCTACTGGACTACTTGATTTCTAGGATAGAAACACTTTTGGTTTACCAAAACTTCAAACACTTCATAAGGTGTTCATTTGCTTGTCCAGTATTTTCATGGTGTAAAGTTTTCTATCTTTTTAGCCGGAATTATGAATAGGAGTTGGGCGTGTCATGTTTTGTTCAATGGCCCCCCCATGTGCAAGAAAACTAAGTTAACACCACCGAATTCTCGTTCATTATTATTTTCATTCAATGTACTAATACACCATAACCATTAATAATAGAGGAGGGATGAAAATGATCCGTATTATTGGATGTCGGGATCCTGACTATAAAATTCTGATTAGGTCTAGATCCTAATCGGGATACTCGATAAATCCAGACAATGATATTTCATATGTTTTATGAAGTTTTTGTCAAAAACTAAAAGAATCACTCACAAAGGAAGCCCTGCAAAATACATGCAAGTTTAAAAATGAACTAACAAACTATAAAAATAACTTGAAATGATAATTAAATATCACCCATATAAATTGTAATATCATTGCTAGAATTAAATCACGATTTAAAATAAGAAAACTTAAATGTAACTGTACTGGTACACTGTCATACATACAAAACAATTTGAAACATAGTAGTTAAAATCGCGATCTGGATCGTACGATTGTATGATTCCGGAGATTGCCAGGGGATTTCCGATCCAACTCGCCCTCAAAATCGCAAAAATCCTTTGGATCGTGCAATCGCACAATCGCAGGGAATCGTCGGTCGTAAAAAGAAAAGAATCGGAACCTTGAAAATCCCTATTTTGTCGCTTCGATTTTGTCAATTTAGTTGCTTCGATTGTTTCGCGACTTCCAATTTGAATTGCAATTACTTTGCTACATCCTATTCGACTATTTTGTTGCTTTTAGGCTTCTCCCTTCTAACCTGGAAAATACTGTTGCCCTGCGTAGAATCTAGAATTTGACTACCATGATTTGAAACATAAAAAACAAAAATTAACAGTTTATGATCTAAAGCTAAAAGTTTAAAACAGAAACATAAAACATGTGAAAATAGGACTAGGATGATGAAGTACAAAGGTAAAATAAAAACTTCCAATCCTATTGTGAGTTTTATATGAAAACAATCCAAGTGAAAGATTTAAGTGATGTACAAACATATGTAAAAATTCGTGTAAGATATTCGAAATGTAATTTTTTTCTCGTCGGGATCTCCACTTGTTTTAAATACACACGCTGATCCTGTGCTGACTAAGTTCTTACTTCTTACCAAGATAAAATGCTGACTAGCCACCATCGAGACTGTTCGGTTCAAGATTGATACTATTGGGATTGTAATGCAGCAAGATTTATTCCCTACCCCTAATTAGAATACTATTAGAATTTGCTCAAAATAAAACACACATAGTAGCAAACAGCAAGCTATCTTTCCTTGTTTTTTTAAAAGATTAATAATGGTGGCAATCTTCCTCTCCAAAATTTACCATCTCTTATAGTAGTGTCTTTGGTAGGACTAGGGCGTACACCAATAGGGTTGTAAACGAACCAAACCGAATTGAATATTGATGAATATTATTCGTATTCATTAGTTTTGGATGGTAATTGTATTCGGTTTGAATATTTTTATAGATTCGTATTCAATTCGTTTATCATACACAAGATATTTGGTTCGTTTTAAAATATTTTGTTTGTTTTAAAATATTCGGCTTGTTTAAATTCTAAAATGTCTTATAAACATTTAATTTATTTCTTAAAAAACGCGAATTATATTAAATTATTTTTTTCAAAAAACTCATTGTATGGCTATAGTTTGGTATTTGCTATTGAGGATGAACTCTAATTTACATATTGAAGATGAAAATATTAACATACATTCGATTTTTGAGTAATAGTAAATTGCCTATCAAATTTTTTAATTTTACAATATTGACCAATCATTTTGAATATATTTGTTCAGGGAACAAATTGAATATTGATATATCCATATTTGTATTCCGTATTCGTGAACGTAAAGAATAACAAATACCATTCTTATTCACATTGGGATTCAATTTTTTCAAATACGCATCAATACAAAGGAATACAGATCACAAATTAAATCAAAATTATTAGAATATCAATCTTCTAATGAAACCTGCCCCATAGTTTGCAGGTTGAAGTTAAAATAACATTGGGTCATCGTTGTCACATTATATTTTCCTTGTGGAAGCAACATATGATGATAGCAGTTTTAAAATTTTCATGTCATTAATCCTTCTTTTGAAGGCTGTGACTGGAAGAGCGTTTGGTGGAAAACCTTGCCAGCGACCCCAGCTAATTGGCTATACAAACATATTTACAGGGTTAAATTTGTACAATGGTTTGACACTAGATTTAATGTCAAACCTAACTACTTGCGATTAAGGTGTTAATGATGATGAATGGTATTAAAAAAAGATGATAAAGTGCAAAAATACCACTGAAAGAAATGGGCAAATTGATCATATTCTCTTTGAGGTTAGTAAAAAACATTGTAAAAAAAGAAATGCGAGGAAAAATTGTCGAAATAGACATACAACATATGGGCAGCAATTTTTTGTTCACAAGCTTAATGTAGAAAGATAACTGAACATAGCTCCCTTTAAGGAGAAGTGTAATGATATGGAATGTTGTCAAATTACGGAGTAAAACTTAAGCAGGTAAGAAGGACAGTGATCTTGTGCATTGTCAATCTTTGTTTTTTGTCTAGGTTGAGGTGGTTTGGACATGTGAGGAGGCGGAATGCTGATGCCCCAGTGTTGAGAAGCGAGAGACTTGTGTTGGTTGGTGGGAGTAGGGGAAGGGGTGGACCTAGAAAGAATAGGAAGGTAGTGATTATATAGGACATAGGACTTTTTGCCCTTAGAGAGGATATGACCTTAGATAGGAGTGTTTGGAGAGCTAGGATAAGAGTGATTGAGTAGGCATTTTAGGCTAGGCTGTAGTTTATGTACTATTGTGTGTTTTATATGCCTTGTATATTTGATGCTCTCTACTTGTAGCTTTTTTCTTTCGTTCTCCCCATTTTGTTCTATGCCTCTATGTGTTTTGTGATTTATCTGCGCTTTCTCTACTTTATATACCTCCTACGATCTTTTTTATCTTTGCTGCTTGAGCCGAGTGTCTCTTTGAAAACAACATCTCTCCTGCGATCTTTATGTTCTTTGAAAACAACCTCTCTACTTTTGAGTAGGGGAAAGGTCTGCGTACACACACCCTCCCCAGACCCTACTCTCATGGGACAAAACTGGGGTTTTTTTTTAACTGAATAAACTCTTCATTATAAACACAAGGGAATTTACCTTAGTAGTACTAAAACATAGTGACTTTCCCGATGTAGTACCATATATTTTTATTTTCCAATGTAGTATCATTGTTCAATGCCCACTCGTCATTGTTCAAGTAATGTCCAGCGCCATAGGACATTGTTCAAACTAAATGTCCACCAATCCACCATCATTGGACATTGTTTCCGCTACTAGACATTTTTCAAGAGCTATTTAGCAAATAAAAAAATTTAGATACTACATTAGGAAAGGACATATGTTTTAGTACTATTTAGTGCAAGTTAAAGTGCATCCCACATCGAAAGTTTAAGAGTAAAATAATTAGTATATAAGCTCTTGAGTTGAACTAACTAATCGATTAGATTCAATCTTTTAATGTGGTTCAGGCGTTCAGCCCAAGTGTCTTATTACCCAATCCAGTTATCACTACCTTATCCTAAATTCTGTCACGGTATCGGAGCGGGTTTTGGCCCACCTCGTTTGTCAAGGTGTCCGTCTAAACGTTCATTCCTAGCGACCCGTTTGTCTTTAGCCCAGTTGTGTGTATGGAGTATGTACCCTACGGCCCGTGGCCTGTTTAACAGGATTGCTTGCTAGTCTGGAAGTCCATACCCAGCGGATCATGGTCTTTTAGGTGTTGGCACTCAAAAAAAAGGGATGAGAGTCCATTTGCAAGTGGTCAACCGGTTAGATTCAAAATGGCCCGGTTGTCCACTTGAGAGGGAGTGTTACAGTGCATCCCACATCGGAAGTTTAAGAGTAAAATAATCGGTGTATAAGCTTTTGAGTTGAACTAACTAATCGATTAGATTCAATCTTTTAATGTGGTTTAATCCAAGTGTCTTATTACCCAATCCAGTTATCACTACCTCATCCTAAATTCTATATACCTATTACATCTTGTAATTAAGATAGCTATCAATATAGAAAAACATCTGTTCCTTGCTCTGTTCTTGTGTCATCTTCTTCCCCTGGACCAGCATGTTCTTTGCTCTCCATATGTGGTAGATGAGGATTGGGCATACACCCAATCTCTCAGCTCTTTCCCTCCTCCGCTTCACCTGCTGCAGTTTGTTTCCTTGCTCCAACAGGTTAGAAGCTGCCATCAAGTTGCCATATCTGCCTTCAGTGTCTCTGATCATTTCCCGGTGTATTTGCAACCACAGAATAGGTGATCACTGGTCTCCCCTTCTTCTAAACAGAGGCTGCAAGTAGAGTCAATAGGTTTCCACCTTTTCAGTTTATCCTTAGTTAACAGCTTCCCATGTAAAGCCAGCCACATTGTAAACCTTACCTTCGGTGGGGTTAACTTGTTGCAAACCCACCTACTCCATTTCACAGTAGGCAGAGAACCTTTGAGCCATTCATAGCCCTTTTGAATAGTGTAACTTTCCCCATTGCCAGGCATTTCTTTGAACCTATCTCTCACATTAAGCATTTGTCTCCGGTAAAAACAAACATCAGCTTTGGGTCTATAGGGTGTGTTAGGGCTTGTTCTCTAGGGTGTTGTGGTTTTTTGTTGTTAAATTCATTTGTATCTCTAGGGTGTGTTAGGGCTTTCTCTCCAACTTATCTGATTGGCTCTAATCTAATTCGATTAAGTTCTGATCTGATTGTAGTTTTTTTTAAAGTTGTTTCTGAACTGATCTGATTCCAATAAGAATAAGTACCAAGTAAAAACAATAAGATGAAGAGAACTAGCTCTTAGTAGTTAGTATACCTTACACCTGACTGATGTGATGTCTTGATTCATTTTTAGCATAAATGCTTAATGTTGTAGTTTTCATTCTTCATATATGACATTTCTAGATACGAAGATCTTTCTTTGATGAGCATGAGTCTGAATTTCCAAAGGCGACGCGACCAATATACTACGACGATGGCTTAGAGGTAGTTAACACTTGCACGGAGGCTCTTACACTTTAATGGGCCATTTCCATGAATAAAACAGTCTCTAATTTTGCATTTTCATTTGGTCATAAAAAATACAGAGAAACAGGGAAACTTTGGATGAAAAGATACGGAAACTGAATTCTGTCATTGAAAATATCTCTTCCCGGCTGAGAGGTGGCAGGAAGATGCCACCACCCATTCCTTCAGAGGTTGATCCACAAGAGGCAACTGTGTAGGAGCCGTTTGTCTCTCAAAATGTTTGATGGATGATTTGATCTTTTGTTTGTCAGTTCATGAATGCTGGTGCTCACATTGCTGTTTGATATATATATATATATATATATATATATATATATATATATAGATATAGATTTTGGTTCAAATAAGAATGCAATCTTATGAAAGAAATAAGAATTAATCTGATGCTTTAGATTCTGAGATATAAGGGTTAGGATTGCATCAAAATTAGGTGCACCAAAATGGTCTGAAAATGCATCATGTCGAAATGCAACAAAATCCTTTAAAAATGCACTATCTCAAAATCTGAGTGTAGGATGCAATCTGAGCCGCACGATGCATCAGATCCAAAGGCTAGATTTTATTCTTATTTCTTTCACCAAGGTGCATTCTCACTTGAACCACTCCCTAATGAAATCTATATATATATATATATATATATATATATATATATATATATATATATATATATATATATATATATATATATATATATATATATATATATATATATATATATATGGATTTCATTATAATTTTTGGTATTATATATTGACGTTCTTATTTTGGAGATAAAAACATGAAGATTTTATTTTGATTATGTTCCTATATTTTACTCATACACTCCTTTATAATTTTTCTCACTTCTCTAGAATAATTGGAGCACGAATACTTCTTTTTGTATAATATTTTTAAAATCAATGCGGGGGAGAGGAATAATTGAATTTTAACTTTTTTAAAATTAGAATTTCTAATCAGAGAAATTTAGGAGCACTAATTTAAGATTTTATTTTTAATAATACGAGAGATAAGATAAACATTTTATAATCATTGCGGGTGGGGGTGGGGGGTGTAGTTGGAATCATTTTTTTTGCTAATCTTAATCAATATGGGGGAGAAGAATCATATTTTATTAATCATAAATTTATAAGGTTGGTAAGTTAGGTTTTTTTAATTAATGTGAGGGAAAAAAACATTTGATCACTAATGCTTTTTGTATTGTTATTTTTAAAAATTTATATGGGAAGAGCTCGCTCGAAAGAAGATGACTCATCTTTCTTGTCCAACCTTGACAGATTGTCCTTTATCATTGCCTTCCCATTAGGTTTAAGGCCTGTTCTTTTGGACTTGAACTCTTAACTTCCAATTTTTTCCAGTTTCTTCCAGTTTCTTCCAGTTCTTCCAGTTTTTTCTAGTTTTTCCAGTTTTTTCCAGTTGCTTTCAGTTTCTTCTAATTTCTTCCAGTTTTTCTTGTTTTATCCAGTTTCTTCTAATTTCTTCCAACTATATTTTTTTCTTCAAATTCTTTCTACTTTTTGACAAATCACTCTAAAAAAAATATATTATTATTATTATTCTTACAGTTTTTTAATTACAACTTTTATGTTGATAACTATAGTTTATAAATTATTTCATTTTGTCATCTCACTATTTTTATGATCCATATTCATTATTTTTTTCAACTTTTTAATATGAATAATACCATTTTTTGTATATTAATCTTTAAGAAAAAATAGGAAAATATTTTAAAAAATTATGGTTAAATAGTTATATACACCCTCCATCCCTAAATATTCACAACATTTGTTTTTTCAACAATCGCGGATACTTTTTTTTATTTCGATGTTTTCATTGATTATTTGATAAAATAAAATATTCTTGACACCTCTTATTTCGAAGAACTTTTCATGTAGTTTTTTAATATGTAAATTTTATTTTTTATTTCTATACCAATATGTAAATAAAATGAATTGAAAAAATTTAATATTTTGCCTCGGGAATACAAATGTGGCAAATAATTTGGGACGGAGGGAGTAGAATATTTTTTAATCTAAATTTATATAAGGTAAACATCAATATTTTAATCTAAAATATAGTACTTTCAATTAAGTTTAACTACATTGTAGAGTATTAAGTGCTAGTTCATCTCTAATTATTTTTTTTAAACTATCTTTTTATGTATGAAAATAATATTCGTAATATTTTTTTTATTTTAAAGTCAATCATTTAGATAACGTAATAACACCACCACCACCACCACTAACAACAACAACAACAATAATAATAATTGATGGTGTAAATTATCGACCGGTATATCATTTTTAGTCCGGCTAAAACGATAAACTAGTCTAAAAAATACACCAAACTATAAACACGAGGGTTTTTACGTGGAAATCCAAATCGGGAGAAAACCACGGGCTTTTTTTGGTGGTACCTTGCCAACGGGAAATTTTTATTAATATCGGGGGTGTATACACGATACATGATTTAGGCATAGAAGCCATTAATGGAAGCTATGGAAGCTTGAAGCTTCTTTAAAGAAATAAACTACCAAATTTCTAGAGAGAGAGGAAGTTGGCAGGGGAGAGTGTTTGATTGGCCTCCCCTTCACATTGGGGGCACCCCTCCTTTTATAGGAGGGAGGGGGAGCATCTTTGGAGGAATATTCTCTTATTCCTCTATTTTATTAAACAGGCTCGGTTTGACTATTCTTCGTAAAATAATTGGGAAATGTGGGCCGAGCCACGTATTATTTCCCCTCAATAAGTCCTCCACTTTTTTAAGTTGTGAGAATCATCAACTTGAAAAAGTAAACAAGTCCTCCGAGTGCTATCTTCGATCTTCGTACTTTGGATTCTTGACCGGTTGATATTGTTGCTTGTCCTCCGAGTCTTCATTAGTTCTCCAATTTCTTCAATCAGAAGGTTTTCCTGCAAAAATAATATGTACAACATTTTTTTTCTTGACCGGCCTAATGTAAATATCTTCATGTCTCGCGGAGACCATCTTCGATCAAAGTGCCTCGAATAGAGGGCTTAAATGAATCGGGCGTCCCCGATATGAGCTTTGCTCACTTTTTTGCTGAAACCGATGTGCAATCGGTGTACCCAATTCGATTGGGCTCAGGCTTATTGGAAAATATGTGTAAGACTGGTGTGAGACCAGTGTACCAGTTCGACTGGGTCACATATTTTCTTTATTATACTGAGCAAGACTGGTGTAGTAACCAGCGTGCCAGACCAGACCTATGTCTCAGTCTTCTAATAAGATAATGCTGCTGGCTGGGCCAGATCAACATTGGAGAATTAAGCATGTCGGATGGTTTCGAGCCCTCTCCAAGGCCCAAAATGCACCCTTCTTCCAGGGCCCCCTCTTCCGGGTGATTAAGTCTTTTAATGGCCCTTTGATATTTACTATCCCGGGAAGGCCTTAGCTCACCCCCCGTTCAAGTCTTCCCTGAGAAGGGGGAAATAGGATGCGCCACGGTAGACGATCCCCTTCTATTTCTTTTAATGAGCATCTTTTAGTCCCCAATCAATTTGACGGCACCGGCTGATTCCCCGATACCGGTCAAACCTCATGGGCCCGTGTAAGTACGGTTCGAACCTTCTTCCAGGTCCAGCCCTCTTGCAGGCATACCCTCTACCGGGCCCCTCTTCCGGGTTTATAATTTTTTTATTTTATACTGAGCAAGACCGGTGTAGTAACCGGCGTGCCAGGTCCGGGCCTGTGTCCCAGTCTTCCCTTCAAAATTCTCTGAAAACATATCCTTGATTGTGCATGTGCAAAGCCCACTTGTTGAGATATGAGCCTTTTATCTCCAAATAACACACTGACCGAGATGTCCAAATCCATGCATCACACAGGTCAAGAGTTGGAGAGAATCTTTTTCATATAATGGTGAGGGAGACACTGCCATCCATAAAAAAACGAAGACCCCACCACTTAGAATCTTTTTCGTATCTTTTTTCTTTTAATCCTCTTGATCCTCCACTCCTTCCCACATGGCTTCTGCTCAAATTTCAGCACAGTACCCTCCATTATTTTGAATGGGCCAAGCACCCAATTTATACATATCCTATCAAAATGATGAATTGGTGGGGGCCTTGTGAAATTTGTGGGGAGTAATTCTTGATAGCCCACCACCCTTTTTCTTTTGGCGTGAGTGCGTGGTTGTGTGAAGCTACTGCCATATCCTTTTGAATTTTTGTCCATCTCTTTATGTTTGTGGCATCTTCTCTTCATCTCTTTTATTTTTGGCCTCTTCTCCTTCACATTGATGCTCTTTCTATGTGCGGAGAATTTTAATTGCTCTGCCCACTTGTGAAGTTTCTTGATTGCTCCCCAATAATCAATATGGGAGTGGATTGAAATTTTCAACCATGGACTGAAATTTTTCACGGATTATCCTCCAAGGACTGAATTTCTCCTCATAAAACTTCAACTGTTCTTCAAGGACTGAATTTTTTCCATCATAGCCGCTCTTCAATCTGTCCGCCCGACCCTTGGGGAAGAATGGTGATGATGGCGGACGTCACTAGCGACGACAGAGGTAACCAGCGGCACGACCCATTCTGCCGTTGCATTGATTCACCCAAGTGGAAGACAAGGCAGATCGGGACATGATCTTCCGGAGCTGGTGGTGGTGAGCCTCGTAATAGCGGTCAAAATTATCCAACCGCAACACGTCTCCTGGCTCCTTGAGCACCGGGATATAGTGGGATCTGACAAAGCCAGCGGCACCGGTGATCAAACGAACAATCTGTTGGCGCGGCAGGGAGTGGAGTTACCGGCGGTGCCTCCGTATTGTCTGGTGGTGAACAGAATCACTAGCCGAGGGAAGTCGCCGGAGTAAGTGGACTTTTGCCGGAAGCATGGAAGCTATGAAATCGGCCGTGGTGCTCTGCAGATGCAATTTTAATTTGCTGGATGTGTTCTCCGCCGGTGAATCCGCGCCGGTGATGAATCCGACGTGCGAGGTGGCACTTGTTTTCTGATTCCGTGCGAGCTAGGGGGTGAACTTGGGCGGCTGCTGATGCCGGAAGAAGAGAACGAGAATCGTCCTCCGGCAACAAATAGAAGGGCGGTTGACTCAGGCTTGAGTTTCAACCAACACCGGCGACGAATCCAACTCCATTGTCGGTAATGGCGGACCTCAAGATGTTATCAATAGACTCCAGCGGCTGCAGATACAACAACTTGTCAGCATCACGCGGCCCTCCGGCGCTAGATGTGGATGGCGGTGAATGGATCCAACGACCAACGATGATTGAGTTCGGCGGCGGCGGCAATCCCGTCGATTGAATTCGGCAGTGGCAGCAGGTTTGAGCGGCGGCGGCTGCGCTGGTTTGAGCAACGGCGGCGGCGGCTGGTTTGAGCAGCGGAAACGGCGGTGGCGGCTCTGAGCAGCAGCGATGGCGGACTCCGGTAGCTTAGGGAAGGGCGAGTACCAGCAGATGGCGGACTCCGGTAGGTGGCAGCGGCGGCTCTGAGCTCGATCTATTGGCCGCTCCAATTTGGGGCTCTCCTTTCTTTCTCTTTTTTTGTCAAATCAAAAAATCAAAAACCCTCCCCTCTCTCACTCTTGAATCACCCACTTTTTTTTATTTCAACCCCTTTTCTTTGGGGTTTTTTTTTGTATGAGCAGGAACAATCAAAATCATGGGTTTCTGCTCGGGTCCCACGGGTGGCATCAAAATGATGGTGTAAATTATCGACCGGTATATCATTTTTAGCCCGGCTAAAACGATAAACGAGTCTAAAAAATACAGCAAACTATAAACACGAGGATTTTTACGTGGAAACCCAAATCGGGAAAAAACTACAGGCCTTTTTTGGCGGTACCTTGCCAACGGAGAATTTTTATTAATATCGGGGGGTGTATACACGATACATGATTTAGGCATAGAAGCCATTAATGGAAGCTATGGAAGCTTGAAGCTTCTTTAAAGAAATAAACTACCAAATTTCTAGAGAGAGAGGAAGTTGGCAGGGGAGAGTGTTTGATTGGCCTCCCCTTCACATTGGGGGCACCTCTCCTTTTATAGGAGGGAGGGGGAGCATCTTCGGAGGAATATTCTCATATTCCTCTATTTTATTAAACAGGCCCGGTTTGACTATTCTTCGTAAAATAATTGGGAAATGTGGGCCGAGCCACGTATTATTTCCCATCAATAATAATAATAATAATTATAGCAATAATAATTTATATCAACAAGAATCAAAATGAGAATAATTTAAAACCACACATAAAAATTTTTTAAAAAACTTTTTTTAGATTTTACAATTTATTCTAGTTTTTTCAGTTTCTTTTAATTTTATCATGTTTTTCCAGTTTTTTTTCTAGTTTCTTCCAGTTCCTTCCAGTTCCTTCCAGTTTCTTACAGTTTTTTCCAGTTTCTTCCAGTTTCCAGCTCTTTTTTTCGAGTCCTAAAGAACAGGCCCTTAGTCGCTTTATTCTTCTTAGAACGCTTGGTCTTCTTCTTCTTCTTCCCCTCAGATCTGGCCTTCCCCCGACTTGCGCTCCGGTGATGTCGTCCACCACAATCTCTTGGTTTGGGGTCAAGGCCACCACCACCTCCTTAAATTGATCAGTCGTGATTCTGATCTGTTCGATGAGGGACTCAGTCTCTGTCTCGCTGATAGGGAGGTGACGGCCTCCGGTGGCGCTAGTCTCTCCATGAGGAGGGTTTCCGGTGGGTAGATTAGCGTTACTTTGAGTTTGGAAGGTTCCTGAGTAAATTTCCCGAGCTCTCAATGAGAGCACCAATTTGATGGACAAGAATTCCACCAAATAATCCGACTTGAAAGGCGGATTGTAAGAATAATTAGGAAACGAGAACTCGAGAATTATGAAATTGTACGCTTGATTTTCCGTTTGAATCCTCCCTATTTATAGATGCCCTTTACGTAATTAAGGTAGTTTAGAGTTTATGGGAATTAATATCAAGATTTGCGCGATCCTCTTTCTTCGGCTCTTTCTCCGCAACTTAGCCGCGTCCTTCTTCTTGAAGGTGGACTCTATGCAGCGCTCTGATCCGGGTCGGCTCAGGCCCAAGGTCGATTTCATCCTTCTGCGGATACCCACGAGCTTTCGGGCATAGGGTTTTGGCCGTCCGTCAGTGGCGTATAGGCTATAAAGCATCTCTAAAATTGTGAATTAGAGAATGAAGGGATTAAATATAACTGATATGAATTTGTATCGTGTTGAGAAGACTTAGAGCGTCTTCAAGCTCTTGAGAATGAGAGATGAGAGCAGAGAAAGAAGGAAACAGCGCCCAGGGAAGCCATGCGTTTCAAGAGACGGGAAAGAGAGTATTTTTAGGGTTTGGTTATTATTATGCTTATTATGGTGAATGGGTACATCTCTAGATATATAGATGTAGAGAAACCCTAATCTTACGAAACTAGGTTATCTAATATGACGGTTCAAGAAAAGCGACGAGGTAAAGAACTGTAAAGAAACCATCGAAAGAGCTTATAAATCGCACACCTAATAAAATCTAATACAATAATGAATATTTAAATATTAAAGTCCACAGTAATGAATATTAAATATTAAACCCCTACTACATCACGAATAGGGGTGTGCATTATTCGGTCAAAACCCGGACCGACCCGAAACCCGGCCAAAACCGGACCGGTCCGGTCCTTATTCGGTCCGGTCTTCGGTCCTCACATTTTCCTTATTCGGGTTCCGGTCCGGTCCGGTTCGGTCCACTAGGTTTCGGTCCAGACCGGTGGACCGGTTACATTTAATTTTTTTTAAATATTTGTTTTTTATATAGTTTTCTAATATAGTTTTTAAACTTTTTTCTTATACTTAAAATTAATTTAACTTTAATACTAAAAGTTTTTAAAATATTTTGATTTTATTATTGAATATAATTTTTTTAATATATTCCAATTCAAAATAAGACACCAATTCTAATGATATTTAAATATTTTTAACATGAAAAGTGTGAAAAAGTAAACATTATCTTTACATAAGCGATATAATTCAATTTAATTAATGTATCAATACTATACAAAAAGTAAAAACACAATAAGAAGAAGAATATTCTATATGTAAAATAAAAATTACAAACAAATTTTATGTAATATGGATGGAGGATATATATTTTATTTAGAGTTTAATAAAATTAAAAACATCAATGTTTGAAAATGTTTAGTGTATGTTACACATGAAAAATTAATTGTAGTAATATTTTTTTACAATTGAATACTTTAAATTAAATAAATAAAACCGAATTTAAAAAAATAAAAAATTACATTTATTCGGTGAGTTTTACTTTATTAATTGATGAGTTTATTAGTTTGACTTATTTTACTTTATTAAATGATGAGTTTGACTTATTTTACTTTATTAATTAATGAGTTTTATTTTATTGAACATTTTAGTTAAACAAAAATAGCATACCATGCATTTAATGTTTTTGTTTGTTTTATTTGAAAACAGACAAAAAAAAGTTAACAAAAAAAATATCAAATAAAACAAACAAAAAAGAAGACGTATGGTACAATTCTTTTGTTTAACTAAAATGATCAATAACATAAAACAAATTAATTAATAAAATAAAATAAGTCAAACTAAGAGTAAGTGCAACATAAAAAGAGAACAACCCACAAAAAACGAATCCAAACGTCAATTAGTTTTTTTTACTTCATTTGATGAAAAAATAAAATATAGAATAAAAATAAAAAAAATGATCAAAAACAAACAAAAATAAGATAAAACAACATAAAAAAATAAAAAAGTAAAACAAACAAAAGAAATAAGACAATTCTTAAAAGAAGATATTTAAAAGACTTACAAAAAAAAGTTCACAAAAAAATCTAAACAAACAAACAATTTAAAAATATCAAGAAAAAAGATAAAAAAAAGTTGTTTCTTGAAATCTTTATTTATTATTTATTCGTTTTTCCTTTTCTCATTTCTTACTTTTTTTGTTTTCTGTTTTGTTTTTCTTTCTTTCTTCCTTTATTTATCTGTTTCGTTATTTTCTCCTTTATCTTTTATCTTTTTTGTTAAGAATTTTGTTATTTCATATTTAATAAATTTATGTTAACAAAATGATCAAACTATACATCTTAATTAAACAAAAATATCAAACTAAATAAAGATTTATAAACAAACAAAAAAATGAGATGCGTACTTTGATTTTTTTGTTTAATTAAAATGATTTAACACAATTGATTAAGTCAAACAAAAAAATCAAAAAATAAAACAAAAAAAACAAACAAATAATTTGACATATGTTAGCAACAAAAAAGTTTGTACAAAAATCGTAAACAAACAAACAAACAATATTAAAACATCAAGAAGAAAATAGAAACAAACAAAAAAATATACAAATAAAATAGACCAAAAACAAAAAAAATAAAAAGAAATATATCAAAAAATTAAAAAATTAAAAAGTTATTCAACAAAAAATTCGAAAAAAAAACACTTAAAGAGGAAGTTAAAATTAAACAAAAAAGAGGGGACTCAAGAAGGGGGGTGAGGTTAAACAAGTTGAGAGGGGTGAGTTGTTGTGAGTGGAGGGTTTAATGAAGAAGAAGAAGAAAAATGGGTAAAAGAAGGAAGAAAAAGAAAAGAAGGGGTGAAAGAAGGAAGAAGAAGAAAAATAGGGGGGAAAGAAGAAGAAAAAGAAAGAAGTGGGAGGGAGGAGAAAAAAAAAAGAAATGAGGTCAAATTGAAGATTTTAAAATATTTAAAATTGTAATTTGGTGCAAATGACCCGATGATTACCTGAAAACCGGCTCCAGGTACCATTTGTGAAAGATTTTCAAAGTTCAGGTGTTTTTGTGAAAGAAAAAAAGTCTAGGTACCAAAACGAAAAATAGCTAAAAGTTCAGGTACCATACATGAAATTTAACCCGTGAGATGGATCATCGATCCTTGTGTTCTGCCTTTAACTATTTATAGTTTGAGAGCATGGTTAGAAATATTGCATTAGACTAGGAATAGTTTAAGAGCATTTATCAAAATAATTTGGCCTTAGATTAAGAATAATTTAAGAATATGTTGAGATACTAAATATTGAATATTGTATATATCATGAAATGACTTGAATTAAAATATTGTAAATATCATGAATGATGAATGCTTGAATTGAATATTATGTGCATGATATCAAAGGATATTATTATGAATTGAGATTCAGTTTATATGGATGTTCGACGCATTAGATATCCTTACTCAACTTCAACACTGAACGTGTAGTATGTTTTATTTACTACACGCAGGTAAATAAGAAGAATGATGTGACGTGATCCTAGAGGCAGATGGAGGCGAGATTGTCGGAATGGATGTGATGGTTTTGAATTGAAGGACATAAATAAATTATGTTTTGTGATTGTGATTTGTTAAGCTTCCGCTGTACCCCAACCCGCGTGACCCGATTACAAGGACCAGCGGATCGGGTTGCTACTAAATTGGCATTCATACGCAATAATTTCCAAAACAACTTAAAACATTTAATTCAAAACAATATTTAAACATCCATCAGAGTAAATCAAAACGGTGTGGAAGCCTTTAAGTACTTAATCAAAATACAACTTTGGATTCTTGCCCTTAAGAATATAATAAATTCAAACTTAAATATTAAATTAGATAACTCCTCCAGCTAGCATCCATCCATCTCTTTGCCCTCGCTGCCTCCAGAATAGTCCCTTATTCATCATTCATGTTACCTACGTGTAGCAAATAGGAAAAAGGGCTACACGCTCAGCATTGAAGTTGAGTGGAACTATCTAACGTTTCGACTACGCACATAGACGAACCCACTAGCTCATAATTCCATACAATATCATGCGCATAAGTACAACATCATTAATATCATATAATTCATCAATTAAGCATAGTTACCATAATTAACAAACTTACCTGATAATCCACTTCTTTATCTCTGGGCTCATAACCTATCCTAGGCTAAGGCCAACTACTTTATTCTAGAGTCCTGATCCAACCACATCCATGGAAGAACCCGCTCGATACGACGTCATCCAACGTCGCCTGGGTGGGACCACCTACTCACATCCATGAGCAGATCTACGACCCCCGTGCGCACGCTCTACCCAACTGATCATGCGTGCACGCCGGCTCATCACATGACCAGTTATTCCTATCTGTATTTCCTTATTCTGTTCTCTCGGTCTACCTATGACTCATCTAGGTAGCCTATCTCATTAACTTACAACCTCAATTTACTTAATCCGTTTAAGGCATATCACATTGTATCCATAATAAATCAAGAGAGTAAAAATAGCTAAATAAATCATCATGCAATCCAAATAGCGGCCTAGTGTCAGGTGTAAACACCTTCCATTTACTGTCATGCAACACATAAGGGCTCAAAGTCAATTCAGATTCCAAATTGGGTCAAAGAGTCAAATAACGGAAACTGCAACTGTTAGGACGGTACCCGTCACGGTACCTTGGTACCGTCTGGCGGTACCTTGGTACCGTCGGTACGGTACCATCCTACCGTCGGGCTTCAGATACCGATAGCAGCGTTTTGGCCTGAGGCGGTAGCTGAGTACCGTTAAGCGGTACAAGGCTACCGTCTGGCGTTGGGAATTTCCTAAAACAACTCAGTTCGATCCAATTCCAAATCATTCATTACGTATTATGTTTTTAGAGATTATTATCATGCAAATCACACCAATTGAAAGTAAGAAAACATACCTGGTCATCCTCGTTCCACCAATTCCAACAATAACATATAATATAATTAAATCATAATTTAATCATAAACAAATAAACCACGTAATCAATCATACGAAACTACGAACGTGAATTTCAAATCTATCTACATAATCTAGCGTTAGATATCCAAGTTCTGACCTTGTTTAATTGGAGAATTTAACAAATCAAATTCTTAAAGAAGGTGTCGGCCAACTCGGCAGCAGAGCAGTGGCTACCCAGCGGCCTCCGGCTCGTGGCGACAGTCAGCTCCTCCGGCAAACGGCGGCAGCGGCACGGCGGAGTAGTGGCGGTTAGAAGACCAGTTCATCCGGCTCTGTTCTGTTCTTTCTCTTCCTCTCTTTTCCACCGCACAGGGTTACTCCGTAATTGTTTCTCTCCTTTTCTTCTTTGTTAATCGTGCATGTATATATAATACGGAGTATATAAAAAGTGGAGTCCTTCTCCAATTTGGAATGGGGTGGCGTATGGAGTAGGTTATTATATACTCCCTCCGTCCCCCTAAGATGTTCTCATTTTGACTTTTGGTGGTTTTTAAGGAGAGTTGAAAAAAGGTGAAAGTTTACCATAATACCCTTAATGAAAAATGGGTGGAGTGTATTAAATGAGGTGAGTGAGGTGTAATAAATAAAGTAAGTGGGGGTAGTTGTGGTATTTTAATTGTTAAAAAATGAAATGAGAAGATCTATTGTGGACAAAGAAAAAGGGCTATTGGGAAGATCTATGAGGGACGGAGGGAGTATATATTATATTATAAAATCTTTATATTTCTTTATTAAACTGTAATGTCTATTTTACACACCACGCTTTATACATATGTCCAAATTTAACAAATTATATATCGTTGGTCACCATTTTACGAGATCTATCCGAAAACCTAATTTTCATTTAAAACGGATAACTTTACAAATAATTCATATTTTAGAGTAAATAAATATTATATTTATTTTTATTAAAATAACGGCTAACTACTAAACCGGTTTTCGGGTCGTTACATCCGCAACATTGAAAATTCCATACTGTTACTGTTATGAATATTATTCTTATGATGAATAAAAGGGTTTGGAAATGTTTTAAATTTTTAGGATTACCAAGTTAATACTTTAGTCATAGAGGGCCTGCAGACCTGGGCGAATCAAGTTGTTACAACACATAATTTTCCATATAATATGTACAAAAAGTTATGGACAAAATAGATATTATGCTATATTAGAATTGTAACACACTAATCCATCCAGGTCTGCAGCCCCTTTCGGACTATAGTATTAACTTCAGAATTGTAAAGATTTAAAATATTTCCAAACACTTTTATTCACCACAAGAATAATATTCTTAACAGTAACAGTACGAAGTTTTCAATGTTACGAAAGCTTAACAAACCCCAATCACAAAACATAATTAATTTATGTTCTTTAATTCAAGACCATCACATCCTCCAGACAATCTCCCCTCCGTCTGCCGTCAGAATTATGTCACATCATTCTTTCTATTTACCTACGTGTAGCAAATATAACATACTACACGCTCAGCATTGAAGCTGAGTAAGAATATCTAATGCATCGAACATCAATATAAACAAAATCTCAATTCATAATCAAATCATTTGATATCATGCACATAATATTCAACTCAAGCATTCATCATTCATTATACTCACAATATTTAAGTCGAATCATTTCATGATATATACAATATTCAATATTCATTCTTTCAAGAGTGCTCTAAAATTATTCTTAATCTAAGGCCAAATTTTTTTAATAACAAAGCTCTTAAACTATTCCTAGTCTAAGGCAATATTTCTAACCGAGCTCTTAAACTATAAATAGTTTAAGGCAAAACACAAGACTCGATGATCCATCCTATGAGTCTTATTGATCACGTACCAACCGAACTATGAACTGTCGGGTGGGTGTTATCCCCAAACGAGTGATCCTCAAGTTTGGTTTGGATGCCGTACGTACGTTTTAACCCAGATTTCCGAATTGGTCACGTAGGTATATATCTTAGAGTTCTTCTAGATATCTTTAAATAATCAACATCAATTATCTAAATGAGTATATCTTAGAGTTCTTCTAGATCTCCTTAACAATATACATCATTTTCATAATTATCAATAGTAAAAATTGTTCCATATAAGACTAATAGACATCGCATTTCCCTAGATAGGACTATTTCAGTTTTTTTCCTTATATAGGATTTATTTTATATTAGGCTTCTGAATTTAGGCTCTGTTCCGTATGCCTGATCTGATTGAATCTGATCTGAGTTTTTGAAGTTCTGATCTGATATGATTGGGTCTGATCTGACTTGATTGGATCTGATCTGATATGATTGGGTCTGATCTGACTTGATTGGATCTGATCTGACCTGATTGGATCTGATCTGATCTGATCTGATCTGATCTGATTGGATCTGATCTGATTGGGTCTGATCTGATCTGATTGAATCTGATCTGATCTGATTGGATCTTATCTGATCTGATTAGATCTGGACTGATCTGAATGGATCTGATCTGATTTGATTGAGTCTGATCTGATCTGATTGAGTCTGATCTGATCTGATTGGATCTGATCTGATCTGATTAGGTCTGGTCTGATCTGATCTAATCTGATTTTAATGAGAATAAGTAATAAGTAGAAAAAATAAGTCCTACGGAACAGACCCTTACCCTCTTCTGAATTATTTTCCATCTTCCGTTTTACATTTTATTTCTGAATTAATATCTCCTTTACATATTTAGCAATTAATGCTCATTAAATGTTCCTATTTTTTAGGGAATGGCGTCATTATACTTGGCCATTTTATGTACGTAGTATCTTGTTATTTTTATACATACTAGTATTTTAAGGCAATAATGTCTTAGATTATTTTAATATGATTGTATATTGCTTAATGTCCTTATATGTAATGTTTACTCATGTTCTCTATATTTTCCCCTTAAATTCATATGCATAATGACTTTATTATGTGTACTTTAATAGCCATGAAATATGTTTAGAGAAATTTACAACATGAATAAAACATAATGACTTTTCCAATATAAGATCATATTTTTTATTTCCCAATGTAGGATCTTTAGTCATTATTTAAGTAAATGTCCATCATTACTGGACATTATTTCTCACACTAGACATTATTAAGTCTTATTTAGGGAACGAAAAAGTTTAAGTCCTACATTAGAAAATGACTTCTGTTTTAGTCCTATTTAGTGCAAATTTCACATATGTTTACCTTTGCCTAGTATTTTAAGGCAATAATGTCTTAGATTATTTTAATATTATTGTATATTGCTCCATGTCCTCATTATTTTAAAGATAAATTTTACACATTTTGATCATAAATTATGAAAACAAATATTTTTAGTTCTTATGTAAATTTTATAAAATTAGTTTTATTTTAAATTTGATAGGTAATGGGATGATGGGTTTTTACTATGTCAATGTCCATTCTCTAAATTATAGCCATTGAGAAAAAATGGCTGGAGGTTTTTCCTTTAATGCTCATGGCATATTTTTGTAATTTTGTAACACTATACGGTAATGTAAATAAGAGTACCCCTATTTAGGGAAAAGTGGTGTCTTTTACTCTTATATATGTAAATTACTCTTATCAATATATGCATTTTTTCATGATTTAATCATTCATAATTATTACTTTAATCAAAATATTCATTAAAGCCCGATGATAAACAACATCAATAATAATCATCATAATATTCGATAACAAATAGCGGCTTAGCGTCAAGTGTTAACACTCTAGGTTACCGTCATACATCACATAAGGCTTAAGGATAATCAAAATATCAATTTTATTTCTAGAAATCATTTTTATATTAGTCATAATTAATTGATATCAAAAATAGGATTTAATAGTTCAAAAATCGAGTTTTAGAGAAAATATCACGTTCTTGACAGTACCCAGTACGTTACCTCGGTACCGTGTCACGGTACCTTGGTACCGACAGCCGTAACCAGCCACAGTCAAGGAAGTAGCCGATGGTAGGTGACTACCATTGCCACGGTAGGTGGCAACTGTGCTGGCGGTACTAAGATACCGTCCGGGCGCTAGCATGATATCGTTCTACGCGTTAATTTGAAACAGAGTCATCTTCAACCTCGGGCCAATTTTCGGAAATACCATTTTTAGTTACCAAACTTCAATTAAACTATAAAGAAATGTTCTCCAAGGTTCATAGAATAGTTTAGCATAATTAATTCAGAGTTTTAACAACAATTATCAAGGTTTATAATTCTTGGTTCTTCAAATATGTCAAACACAAACTCAACCAATCGACTGTTTATGAATGTAGAAACGATTTATACAAACATTTTAGTCACTCGATATATCTAAGAGCTTACCTTGGAGATTAACGATGATTTTGGCGATTGAACGGTGAAACTTCCAACGATGAATTCTCACCAAATTGACAGCACCAGAGCATTCCTCACACTCTCACGAACATAATAGGAGAAAGAATTGAGTGATTTGGTGAGAAACAGAGAGAGTTGTTGATGCTTATATAGGAGGAGAAGGAGGGATTGCAGCCAAGCTTGGTGATGTTTGTGATCGGCGAATCCTTCGTAGTGCACTAGACGCCGATTAGGAAATCCTTTAGACAACTCTACCTGATTGAGACAAATTTGGTTCTAGTCGGGGTACACTTTTTGGTCCAACTTTCTCCGAATTAAATTTCGTTTGCACCATTGTGAATTGCGATCGAACATTTAAACCCTATCTAACGATATAATTTTTATATTTATTTGTAATATTTTTTCGGACATCATATTTTTGAGTGTTTGACTTTGACAGAGTCAAAATTGATTTAATTAACCTTTTTTCAAAAAGGTTATTACATTTAACTATTATTATTTATTCTCATGAATTATTTCAATAAATCATTTCAAAGTTTACATCATAAATCAAATTTTTTTTATTTATTCTTAATTTGGGTATGTTCTCTGGTTCCAAATTAAGATCACACATATAATCAACACATTGGATTTATTTCTTCGAGATTTATGCAGATTGTGATATTGGATATCAAAACATACTTCATTTCGGCCCAAAGCCCAATAATATTTTATTTTAATAAAAACAAATTTGATTAATTGAATAATTATTCATTAATAATTTTAGGGTATATTTTGCGGCGTTACAATTTTAAGGTTAATGAACTTCTTAGCTCCATGAGTCTACACATATATTTTGCATATAAAAATGTCTTATACTTTGAGACATCAATAAAGAAACAAAATATATAAATTACAAACTAGGAAAAACTATATATAACATATCGGATACACGGATAAACGGTTATTTAAACGAATGTCAATGCGGACGGATCGAATGTATGATTACCAAATTTGTATCCGTTTAGCAATTGGATATTTTTAATCGGATACGGATAATAACCGTTTTAACGAATACAGATATTTTCCATATGAACGGATACAAATACGCACGGTAATTTACAGCCCTACCACATCACATGTCAACACTACTTTTGACTTGTAGAACATGGAGTGGAAGACCATGATAACTAAACTAATATATAACACTTTAAATACATCAAAAAGATAAAAAGTTACTAAAACAATGGCTTGCTACTGTAGTCTGTGGGGCATATTACTCCACTGACATGCCACTCTCTAACTAGTTGGGTTGTTATCGATTGGATGAATAATGTCATGTCAACATGTAACATACCATTTCTTACTTGCCGTTGCTTGTGATTTTAGAAGATTGATGAAATAAATTATTTTATTTCTTTAGAATTAATTTTAAAATGATGAAATTTTAATTAATGGTTATATGTACATGGATATTCATTATTATTTCATTGAGTATCTAGAATGTTGAAAAACTAATTTATTTCGGGGTATTATTTCTTTGGAATTTATTCTATACTAATTAAATACTCCTTCCGTCCCCAATTTGTAATCAAATTGGGGTTTGCGAGGAGAAATATTTTACTTTTTGAAATCATTTTATTTACAAATTAGTATATTGATAAGAAATAAAAATAAAACATTAAAAAATTAAACTATGTCAAAAGTTCTACAAAATAAGAGGTGAGAAGAATATTTTATTCTATCAAATACTTAATAAAATCGCGTAAGCAAACAAAAGTTATCGAGATGAGAGGAGAAAAATTGTAATCGAATTGGAGACGGAGGGAGTATTAATTAATGATTATTATGGAGTAAATTTTATGATTTATTTTCCTATGTTATGTTCTCATTGCCTCGGATTACTGTGGCAACTTTGATTGTGGATTACTCTATATGAAAAAATACATCAGTTATGATAGATTTATCTAAATATATAATTTTGAAATATCAAATTTTATAATATTTAATTATTTAAAACTATGTTTAATTTGTAGTCAAAGAGTGCTACAGTTTTAGTAAAAATGTCAAACTGTGGCAATCTTTTAGGGGAGAGGGAGAATAAAATGTATAAAAAGTACTCCCTCTGTGACCTCTGTCCCAATCCAAAATATTTGTCACATTTTCTTTTTCAACTATCAAAAGAACTTTTATTTATTTGTAGATTTTCATCGATTATTAGATAATATAAAATATTTTTGACATTTTTATTTCAAAATTTTTTTCATATAGTTACAAATATGTAAATTTAATTTTTTATTTAAATACAAATATTTAAATAAAATAAATTAAAAAAAATTCATATGTTGTCTAGTTTCTAAAATCATTTATCGTCATTCTCCCGTCCGTTTTCCAAGCGGAAGAAGAGAAAGGAATCCCCCTCTTCGTCGACCCACTGTCCAGTGAAAGAGGATTCCTTTTCTCGCCTTTCCATCTTCATAGCGAGAAATCCGAGATTTCCAAGATTTTTTCAAGGATTTGTCTTCCTTCTTCGTCCGAATCAATAGCCAGGTCAACTCGCGGATCAACATTCCATCTTCTTCGCGAAGGAAACACTTCAAATATTAGGTATTTTCCCCCAATTTCGCTAAAATTCTCATATCTGGTCATCCAAATGGTCCCAATTTAGGGTTTGAACAAGGATTCTCAACCAGTTAGTTGTCGTCAGATCGGAGATGGAGTGCGAGAGCCAAGCATCGCGGAGTTCATTACATCGAGCATACTTGGGTATTATTTTATAATCTCCATCTTTTATGCTTCGACATTCCAGTTTTGAAACAATTTCTTAATATATTTTGATCATTAGTAAATAAATTTATAAACACATGTCGTTCACATTCCTAAGGATGCTAAACCATTCCTGATTTCTTTCATTTGTAAAATATGTTTGAAGATTTGTATGTTAATCATCATTCTTTAGAGTTTATTTTCACGCTTTAGTTAAGTATCAATTATATATTTATTCATTTTCCTATTAAGATAATATTATTTATAACCAAATGATTAGAAGTATCAATTACTTTATAGTTTCAGCATTTTAGTTTTTAATGTTCTCTAAGAGTATTACATTGTGAATCTACTTTTTTTTTACCAGATTCTTCTCCTATAATTGAGGTTAAACAATTATGCACTGATGTTGGATTGTTTGTGTGGAAAATGCTTCAATATCTGAAACGTATTGATGGCATCAACCTTTCATAGACATTGCTCAGGTGGTACCCATTTTCGTTTGTTTCATTATTTTTTCCCATCTATTTGATTCTACCTATCATTAATTTTGCCACCATTTTTTGTTTCTACTGAACTTTTTATTTTCTTTTAATGTATCTGATTAGGACGTTCCATGCTTGATGCAATTTTCATCTTTGAAATGAAGTAAATGTTGAAAAAAAATCAAGCAATTTTTCTTATACTATTTGAAAACAAAATTTCCTCTGCAATTGAACTCACTTTCTTTGCACATTTCTCTTTCTCTTTGTGTGTTCTGTGATTGCGTGACACACAAAAAACACAATAGATATGTGTTTAAGAATTAATCTGGTCTTAATCTTAATCAACTGGGCAAAGTGTCTTATATGCACTCCTTGAATTTGAGTATAGTCTCTGCATGACTATACATGTTTAATGGCATTCACTAAATACTCAATGATATTGATGGTCTTTTACTGCAAATACTTTTAAGTGCATGTTTAAGCATAGTTCTGCATTTTTCATATCTTTAGTGTAGCTTATGAATGCCGGTCGTCTTGGAAATATTGTTGACTACCTTAAGGCCTGCTATTACATTTAATGTGTCATATTTTTTGAACATTTTGAATCATTTTCAGTTTCAATGTTTAATTTATCATCCTTTCATGTGTTTCTTATCTTCTCTTATCCTATGAACTACATGCTAGCGGTTTTTTTTGTCTCTTAATGGTTGGGTGCCAGCTGGGTCACAAGTTGTAGTGGATTTGCTGGATGTTGACTACAGATGGTTAAAACTTTGACACAAGATAAACACTATAGGATTGAGAAGCTCCTGTAGGTTGTTCTTTTGAATCATGTTTATAATGCGTGCATATGGGGTCACTTTTTGCTAATGTGTTGGTATTGGATTGGAAAATTTGGGATAGATCACAAACTGCTAGAATTTTTCAACAGCTGTTTTACAATTCTTTAGTTTACTTTCTACAAGAAAAAAAGCAGCAACTTCATTTTAATTAATTTCATCAGTTTTGTAACTTCATCTCAAAACAAGTGTAGGATTAATTTGTTTAGACCCATTAACCTGAAGTGTACCTTAAACAATTGTGTGATTAATTGCTAGGTTCAATCTAGATTTTTTTATCTTTAGTCGTAAAGAGTAAATTGATGTAAAAATTCTGATATTGTTTTTCATTTTCTAGCGCTTTCTGGCTTGAGGGAAGAGTTGGGTATTATAAAGTACTTTTTTATTTTTATTTTACTTTACTCTTTTTTATGGAGTCTCAACTCTATTAAAATTATGATTTTAGAATTTGGTATTTTTGTTTTACCAATCCAAACTTAGCTTCATACTTTCAACAATTACCTGCAAATATCAATGCCTTGGTCATTATAGATTGTTCTAAATTGTTGTCGTGATGGATGTATTGCATTGAGAGGGAAGACTAGAGAAAGAACATTAAATATGTTCAACATAATTTTTTTGACCAGTGACTATACAATCTTCTAATTGTTGTTAATATCCACTTTTATAGCTTACTTTGTTTTTTTCATTATAAGTTCTGCTTTATTAAATCTGTTTTTGGTTTGCTTATATAAGCTCTGAACAAATTAAAAAGCTTATATGAACCAAAAAAGTTACAATTACAAGATGAAAGAATAGGTTTTTATACATATGTAGTTTGAGCGTTATTTTTTAATTTGCTCAAATTATAGATATGAACTGAAAAATATGAAAAAGTACAACATGAAAGAATAGGGGATTTTTTTTCTTTAGTAAAGCTAAAAACATATTTATATATTGTGAAAGAAATTCATATAATTGGGTGGTTTTTAGGTGCTCTTACGATAAGTCATAGAAGAGGTGTTTATGATTTAGTTTCAATATCATGCTTTCAATGACATGAAGCTTAATTAAAGAGCTTTTCTTTTTTTGGATTTAGTTTGGTCATCATTGATGGTGCAAACATTGTCTTATTTCTATCATCTCGCAACTGTAAATAGAAATAGTTTTTATCATCTTGCAGCTTCAAATACTAATGACTCCAATCGTGGAATAAGAAGAGGAGAAATTGTCATTGCAACATCTGAAAATGAATAAAGATGATACCCTAATGTGGAAGAACATCTCCAAAGACAAGCCGTGAAAGAAGCTACTGTAAGTTCTTTTCATTACATTCCCTGAAGTTAATGTTCTTATAACTTGGTCATTTAATGTCTTAATGTCATTTTGGTCGAAGCATACAATTATACAAACATGAAACATCTCATAATTAAATAAAATAAAATTTTGCTCTACTTTTATGTGTTCCTAAAACCATTTTCTAAATGGGGTTATTGAAGTGGTGTTTGACTGCCTTTTATGCTCTTTTGAAATTGTCACCACCTCAAGTCCATAAGTAGATGAGTTTCCATTACTGAAGTGATGTTTAACTGTTTTATACTCATTATAATAATATCTTAGTTTATACAATATATTCTTTTAATCTAATGTCTGAGGATGCAAGTATAATTGCAATCACCCTTATGAGATTTGTACAAGAAGACCATAGTTTCTGATAAAGGCAAGGAAGTCCCAATGAAGCATGAGAAAACAGACAACAATCTTTAATATAATGAGCAACAGATCAGATGTTTTTCTATGTGGATTGCTAATAAGACCGAAGCAGTTTCTGTTTATTCTCTACTATATTCTTTTCCAGATCAGAAGTAGATTTCGTAAACTTACTGCATGCACTAACTTTGATGAAGGGAGTATATGTTATCAGGTTGGTTCAAAAGCATCTTTTTAATAATGATTGGGATCAAAAGAAGATCAAATGAAGATGAAAGTACAAATGGTGGTTGGTTATACGTGGAAAAACAAAGAAGACTTTGGAGACCTAAATGTCAGAAGCTTAGAAGTCAGTAGGCACATAAAACCTAGGCAAAGGTGCATAAATATGACGTTGTTCCTTTTTCTACCTCTATCTAGGTGATTCGTGTATTCACATATTTTTCAATTTCACTTATCTTTTTCATTTAATTAGCTTACATTGATCAGTTTACCCATTCTCAATTTTTTCTTTCCTTATTTATTATTCTTTTTCATGATTCGTCAATATTAGCTACCATTCAGCCAAAATTACCTTGCATAAAAGCTTCTTAAATTTCATGGCTGTAACTTTTAAAACAAGTTAATGGTAAAGCTTTGATCAAATCTTACACTTTTTATATTAAGGAAACTACACCCGTGTTTGGTCACAGACTCAACCTTGCCATAGAGAATTTCATATCATACTCTCAACCTATACTTCTTACTGTACATTAACTTTAAAAGGTTCTTATTACACCAAGGAAAGACTATCGAACAGATAGGTATTTTTCATTTAAAATCTAAAAACCATGTGGCCGTATTGATAGCTTATTTGAATTGAACAAGAGGAAAATGTGTGTTTGTTTTTTGTTCAATTTTGTAGATTAATTAGGGGAGTTATACTATTTGTTTATTGAACTCATTTGACCATTTGCTAATGTAAAGAAAGATGAACTGATGCACTTAGGATGATCTTCAAAACACAATTCGGGCTAATACTATTTCACTATGCTTATGGTTGATGGACAAAATGTTTACTGCATGTATGGTGATGATTTGAATGCAAGTTTTTTATATGTTTGCTTGCCATTGCTCTTTTACATTAACTCTTAGTACTATGTATTACTTATTTAAAATCTAAATGAGATGAAATTTTATGTTGTAGGTTAGGGGGGAGGGGGAGAGTTTAGACACAAAACTTGATGTACCAGGTATGTCCTTACTTTTTTTCCCTTCGAAATATGAAAGAGCGTGAATCTCATCATAGCCCGTATCAATTGCGTAAGTTACTATACTTTACCATCAATAATGTAGAACTGTTCGTTAAGCTGTGGTTATAAATGGAGAACTCGCATAATTTTTTTTGTTATGTTTAATTATATTTAGTTTTATACAAAGTCTATTTAATTTACTAGATGCACCAGGGGCACAATTATATTTTTTATTTTATTTCGTTGTATGTAGTATGACAATTGGTATTGCTCTTATGTCCTTTCTAAGTAGGGGAAACATGGAAGAGGAGGCACCCCTTGAAGATTCATCTCTCAGGATTGAAAGTGTTAGTTTTAGATGACAATAGTAACCCTTGAAATTACATCAAAAATGTGGTTTACCCTGAAGTTTTCCAAAAAAATTTGGATTTAATTAATACATTCATACGTTCTTTTCATTTTTTATATGCATGAATTTAAGCTATCATACTCTGTTTATGACGTATCTAACATTCTATATTATATTTACCTTTATTCTTTAATAATTTTTTTAAAATAAAAAATTAACAAAGTGAAAAATAACATGTGTTCGACCCCGTGCGTTGCACGGGTTAGATACTAGTTTAATATAATATTTAAGAGTTAATAGACTAGAATGATGACACGTGTACTTAAAAGAATTTATTCTATTGACAAATCAGCATCCACGCGCCTATGCTCTGCGTTTACCAAGCGGAGGAAAAAAGGGAATTCCCAATCTCCACCGGAACCTTCTTCGTCGTCCCAATCTCCAGCGGAACCCTCTTTCCATCTTCGTCGCTAGAAATCCGCAATTCCCAATATTTTTTCAAGATTTATCTTCCATCTTCGTTCTTCGTCCGACTGAATAGCCGATCCAGGTCAACTCGCGGATCACCATTCCATCTTCGCCAAGAAAGACTTCAAATTAGGTATTTTTTCCTTAATTTTTTTGTGAGTATTTATGTATTGTGGAGCAAAATCCGGTATTCCTATTACATTTCCTTCCAAAATATTATTTCTTTCAAGATTTATCTTCCATCTCTGTTTTTTTTTGGGAAATTCAATTTCAGAAACTATTATTTCAAAAAAATTCCTTTTACGTGTATGTAGAGTAATTTTATGCGAAAATTCATTCTTATTAGTTATTATCATTCCTACATTCCCTATAAATATTTTTTCTCAGTTAAAATTATACTCCACAAAACCCTTGTTTTTCTTCCATTGAAATTTTTTCCATTCTTCCTCTTCCTCTGTAACACATTTTTACGACAAGATGACTATCCATCCTTTACCAAAAATCAATCCAACAAGTGAATGTTGGAGAATCATGGTTTGTGTCATAAGACTATATGCTTTACCTCTATATAGTGATGAAAAGACACAAATTCTATTGAGATGGTGTTATGGACGAACATGTAAGTCAAGGAATAATTTATAATTTTGCATATGATTCTTATTATGTGTAAAAAATTGTATGATGTGTTTGATCTAAAGACTTTGACAACTTTTTTTTAGTTATTTGTAAGCATGTTCCAAAGAACATATATTGTCTGGTGTTATTAATTTCTGGACTGCTATACATCAACTTTTTTACTTGAACCAGTTTTTTTAATTTCTAGACTGTTGAACATAGAGTACGGATCTAGGTTTTTAGTCTATGAATTAGATTGACTGACAGATGCTTTACTATGTGGGATTTAATATGCTTTATGTTATACTCACTGTCCATGAACCAGTATTTTCTAGATATTCATGTTCTTGACATACATACTATTTGATGTTTTTTAAAGGATTCAGTCGTAAAAGCTTTTGATCTGTTTAATCCATTCACAAAATTTAGATTAATTTTCAGACTTGATTTGACTCTTAAGTCTCAACTTTGCAATTTCAAAATTTTAAGCCCAGTTAGTTACAATGTCTAATGTGTACTACAACTGCCCAAGTAAATACAGAAGCTTCTTTCTCTGTTTAAAATGTTTGATCCATGCACAAAATTTAGGTTCATTTTCAGACTTACTTTGACTCTTAAGTCTCAACTTTGTAAAATGAAATTTTGAACTCCATTTAGTTATGAATGACAGATTTTCCAAAGTGCTTTTATCCAGCACTCTGGACTGCTTATTTTCAGACTTGCTTCTTTTTTAAAAGTAAAATGAAATTTCATTTTCATTTTTAGACTTGCTTTTTTTGAACTCCAGTAAAAGTACTGGACTTAAGAGTCAAAGCAAATGAAATTTATGTCAACTGTGCCATTATTTTCTAAAAAAAATTACCTGAGGTTTGCCAATTTCTTGATGCTTTGCGTTTAGCCGTGTGAATATTACTTTGTTGCCGAATGCTGTCATATGAATAAATAGTTTTGAATCTGCCCAGGTTGACAGTGAATAATACTTGGTGCTGAATGATGTCCTATGGTTACATGGTTATTGCTACTGCGTTTCCTTTTTAATAAATCAAGCATTATATAATTTTTCAAAGTAAAAAACAAAACAAACTACACAATAAATAATATTGTCTGGAGTACAATACATTATGGAGATATAGAAGAGCTGAGCAATCAAATATGTTTAAAAACGTGGTGTATTATTTTTTATTGTTGCTGATATTTTTTTTCAAAAATCTGAAGGGGAGTACAATCCATGCAACAGTCCGGAAAAGTTTGGTCGGAACTTTTGAGAGATGACTCAAGGAGGGTTCTATTTACATCTTTGCCTATTTTGGAATAGGCATCATTAGTGGCTATTATCGTACCTCGAGACATGAGTACAGACTTAATTTTCAACCATGAACTTCTGTTACCGAATGTACTTCTGACAAAATTCCAGTGCATGGGCTTAGGTTGAGTACTTTTGCTGAAATACTGGAAACAGACTCGAACTACCCATACTTAGTTGGTAATCTTTGGTTCTCTTATCCATAATTAAAGCTAATCATAAGATGTTTGGCGATATCTAAATTTTTCTTTTTACACATACACTATGGGGATCCTTACAGCTGTGGGCAAGCAAAAGGAGAAAGTAAAGGAGTCCAAAAGGACAAAGATGATTGTCATCAAGTTAGAAGCAGAAGGGTATTGTTATTTTCAGAGCTACACATCAAAAAGTTATTATTAGTCCATTAACAGTGTCAAGTATGCTATGTTATTTGAATTTTGTGATCTAGGATGACATTGGATATCCCACTATTTGGGGAGTACGTTGACAAGTTGAAATGCTTCTTCCAACAACAGCCATTGGAACATCCCATAATTGTGATACAATATGCAAAAGTGAAAGTGTTTCAAGGTACTATGATTAATTATATACTATTCTGTTTTATTTTTTTGGATTTCCATATCACAATCATCTTTGCGCTTATTCTTTAAAACTAACCATGTGAAAAGCTACCAGGAAATATATTTTTACAGAATGTCATGTACGGAACGCGTATGTTATTAAATCCTGAGATAGAACAGGTGATTGTATTTAGACAAAGGTGGGTAAAATCTACTCTATAAGAACTTATATATAGTAAGCATACTATTTCTATATGTTATTTAGTAACTCTCTAACTTATTACAATTAAACCATTTTTATGAAGGGCTCTTAGCGTGACATCTCAACGTCAACCCATTATGTTGTCATGTGATGACATTTCAAATGTGCAGCATAGTGAATTCCTAGATGCTGATCGGATGAGGATAATAACGACACTGAAGAATACTACTCAGGCAGTCCTTTGTTTAACTAATCTTATTATTGTTTTTAAAAATAGACTGATATTCTGTTTGTATTCAAATAGGATGGCTCCTATGTCGTGTATGCCACTGTTGATGCGGTGAACAATCCTGGGATTATTCTTATTTAGCTTGCAAGTGTAATAGAGCAGTGAGAGCTGATGCTACTATGTACTATTGCATGTACTGTGCATGTCGCGTTTTGAATGTCACTCCAAGGTTTATTTTAGCTCCACATATATTCATCTTTTTGTGCATGTTTAATTAAAATTACGTAAGATGCTATATCTGTTTTTTGAAGATATTTGATCAAGCTGGCGGTTAGGGATGATTATGAAACAACTACGTTTATGTTATTTGACCAAGAAGCCTCCTCAATTTTAAATACTTCATGTTCCAAATTGCTGGAAAAGATAGATGTGGTATGACAATTAAAAGGATAAATATTAAACGCATTTTTTTAATATGTTAAGTAATTTAATTGTTCAAAAGCTAATGTCTTAAATTTTACAACGAACGTTAGGATGGAAGTACTGAGAATCCAGCAGAGTTTGGGGAACTTTTCTTGGGTAAAAGTTTCCTTTTTAAAGTGGAGGTTAGATCAATGTTCAAGGGACGTATGGAGCAATCATTTAGAGTGTCGAAAATATGTCATGATGCTACTGTCCTCACATGGTTTATTGAATCTGCTACTCCAAAAAGTGGAAAAAACAATAGCAATAGGGAGGGGCAAATTTATTCTGTTGGGGAAGACTTTTTTCATATTACTAAGGCCACAACCATCGAGTCGTTAAAAGATTGTACCGAGGTGAGTTATATTAATTCCACTAAATGCATGTGCTTCAATGCTAAAAACTTGGTAAGATAAGACAATGTCTTCTTTTAACGATGTGATTGTACTAGGACGGTGAATATGCTATCTACGGAACAATCATAGACTCGGATTGGTTTATAGCAATGTGTAGGTGCGGTGCGGGGCTGAAGTGGTCCCCCGCGGTGGCTCCTACCATTGAACTGATGGTAAGAAACGCGTTGTGAACCTTATCCCAAGGTATATGTTTTGATAATCCATCAATCTTATTAATTTATATGTTGAAAATCTTTCTTTTAACGTAATCATGTGTTCAATTGTGAAATAGGTATCAAATCAAAATGAGAGTCGTAGACACATCAGACTCTGCTACTTTTGTAGTATACGAAAATGTGGGGTGTTTGCTTCTCCAAAAATGATGTGATGAAATGATGAAGTACTGTGAGGTATGTAAACTTGATTGTATTACCAGTATACATCAAGTCTCTCAAATAATGACACGAAATTTTGAAGCAGAATGTTCCCGGTGTAGACATACAACCAGATGTGTTCAATCGACTTTTGATAGATAAAACATATCTCTTCAAAGTGGAGATCAGGCGTGCACACTTCAACGATTTTGATCCTTCCTATAACGTGATGGACATTTGTTTCAATGAACATACCATCTCAAAATACAAAGAAAGAAATACTGCTTTATTTTCACTCCAGGTTTGATGAGATACGTTTTTGACGTAATTTTGAATTTATTGATAGCGAATTACTACATAGTCACGTGTTGCTTATACCTTCCTATATGATATCTAACATTTCATAATTTAACTTTATGAAATAGACTGATGTAACGATGTGACTTTCAACTGGAGAGAAATTATCGCAGCATACATTCTCGGTAAGATAGTGAACTTTGTGTGTAAAGGTGAGAATTCTTGGCTATTTACTCACACACTTGAATAAAAATTGAGTCTCTTATGAATTGGTATTTTTTCATTGCTGAATCCGAGGGTGAATGGGTACTAAATCATTGCATCATTCTCTTTTGGTCTGTTTGTATATCATTAAGGAAGAATACTTAACCTTAAGTAACCAAAAATTCATACCACTAGAGACATTTCCCACTGTTTTGTTTAAAGTTGTTAGTCTAGGCTTTTTGTCTTTGAACTCGAGAATGTCTCCATGAGGTTTTGGTCAACTGTGCATTATTATCTATTTATGAGACCATAGTCTTGGGGTGCGAGTGGTATTATGAAACAAAACAGGTATTTGAGTGAACAAAAGATGGCTCTTTAGTCATGTCGAAGGAGTGAAAACATGCTCTTCACGACATGCCATACCATTGACTTCAGGGTTTTAAACAGAAAATTTAAAAGTTAAACTAGATTGAACTCTTTTGAGAATAATTCAAACTTTTTGTGATTTATGGAATGATGAACATAGAGAACTCACCTGGGTTATTGGTCTGTCAATTAGAATGACAAACAGAGGAATTCCTATGCTGTATATAATTTTCTTTATGATAGACGGACTGTCCAGAATCAATGCCAGATTTAATGGTACATGGCTACGGTTTTTTTCGAAAATAAAATTTTACCTTTGAAAATCTCCATATCAATTTAGAATATAAAAACCTTTTTTTATAAGGATAGGAGTACATAATATATAACGAAGAACACTAATATTTAAATAGCATGTCAATGCAGTTTTTTTAAATACGAGTAACAATTTTTTTTGGCCAAAGTCAATGTTAATTATTTTAGACAAAGTCAATCTTAGGCAAAAAATATCACAATATTAACTACTCCAGTACTCAATATTCATCAAAACTAACATCTATATGAGATTTATCATATCAAATAGTATCGAAAATTCCTTTTTATCTAATTAGTATATTAAATATAATTTATGTAATTATCGGTCAAAGGTTGAAATACAAAATCCCAGAATTAATGTTCTGGGATTCCAAACCACAGAATTATTTTGAAGAAAGAAGTACCAATTATGTTATTAAGAAACATTGATCAAACATCTGGGTTGAGTAATGGTACAAGGTTAATAGTTGAAGAATTGCGAAGACACGTTATCGGTGTAATTGTTGTATCAGGAAACAATGTCGGTGAGAAAGTTTACATATCAAGAATGAATTTGGTACCGTCAGATCCTAGATTACCTTTTAAGTTTCAAAGAAGACAATTTCCAATATCTTTATATTTTGGCATGACAATCAATAATAATCAAGGCCAATCATTATCATTTGTTGGATTATTCTTGACCAAATCAGTATTCACTCATAGTTAACTTTATGTTGCGGTTTCACAAGTGAAAACTAAGAGAGGACTAAAATTCTTAGTTTTAGATGACAATGGTAAACCTGGCAATTGTACCAAAAATGTAGTTTACCCTTAAGTTTTCCAAAAAAATTTGATTTAATTTATATATTTGTACATTCTTTTCAAGTTTTATATAAATCAATTTTAGTTAGCATACTCTGTTTATGTTGTATCTAAAATTCTATATTATATCTACTTTTATTTTACAATTATTTACTTAAAATAAAAAATTACTAAAGTTAAAAATAATATATGTTCGACTCCGTGCGTTGCACAGGTTAAATGTTTATGGAGGATTGGTGGGTACATGTTTTTCCTAAACGAATCCGGGAGTAGTTATTTTGTTTAGAAAGAGACAATGTTTATAGCAATATAAGAGCAGCACACTCCAAATTGAAGTGCGTATTATTTCAATTTACATTGAAGAAGGGGTGTGATACCGACGGTAATTGAAAAGGATCGGCGATTGTGAAGTGTAGCGGAGGGATGGCGTTCACTGCGGCGGAGCAGCAGAAGCTGAATAAAGGGATAGCGGAGTTCTACGACGAGTCTTCGGGGATGTGGGAAGACATATGGGGAGACCACTTGCACCATGGGTTCTACGACCACAACATCTCCGGCGGTGTTTCCCTCCCCGACCACCGCGCCGCTCAGATCCGCATGATCGAAGAGGCCCTTCGTTTCGCCTCCCTTTCCGGTACGTACGCTCTGGTGGCCGTCTTCTGTTCTTACTGTTTCTTATCTGCGTGAAATTTGCTAAGCCCGTCTACTTCCAAAATATACCTTCTCAAAACGGCATTGCCAACTTAGAAAGATTATAAGCCACATATCTCATTCTTAAATATTTGTTATGTTTTAAATTAAAATTTCATTTTTCATGCCTCAAAAATGAAGTTGCATCTCTTATCATTTCTTGAAGAAAAGGGTAATGCTAGATTGCTAGACACACAACCCAAAATTCATAAAATGTACAAACTTACCCAATATATAAACTAATGATTTGAAATTAATGGTCTCAAATAATTCTAAAATAAAAGCTTAAATACACAAATTGTAAGTTTATGTATTTTGTGAGTGTTTTATTTGTAACTCTAGTAGAGTCACAACCCAAAAATTCACAATATTTTTCCATTTATTATACTCCGTACGTCTTGATTCTTTTGGAGTCCTGATTCTGTTGCGCCCAATCTAATTTCTCTTGCCCCTCTCTGACAATCGGCGATCCAGGATCCATGAGGGGCATAGATTCTACGAACATTATGGCAACATTTATCGTCAAAAGAAAGGGGTCATACCTTATAATTCGTATTTTAACACTCTTGTGAAGTAACTTAGGAATAGGAGTAGAAGAAAAGTAGAATGTTAAACTTACGGATTATTATAATTTATAAATACGGAGCATAATTTACTCTATATCTAAAAAGTATTAAAATATTAAATTTATACGGGGTACTGGGGTAGTAAAAGAGATGCTCCTACAACCATGAGACACTTACAGTAAAGAATATATCCTAAAGTTACATTATGTTGGTGATATTGGGCATTAGTCAATTACTTTTTTGTTATCTCTTTTCTTTTTCTTCCTTGTTGTTATATATAAATAACTCCTATACTAGGATATTTTTCTGGCCTAATGAGAGAGAAAGATATTGAGCAATGCTAGGGGTACACCAAAGGTGTACCCCATTTGTCCCCACTCCCTTCTCAACCACTCATTTTTATCTAGTTTTTATTTATTTAATTTTTTTAAAAAATTCTTGCCCATTTATGTGGTAATGGAAGGGGTGGAGGACAAATGGGGTACACTTTTGGTGTACCCCTAGCATTTTTCAGAGATATTTTCTGTTATTTCCGTGTCTTCTTTCTCGTCTCTCTCTTCATGCTCTGTTCATATCTTCACATGAAGATTCATGGAGAAATTCTAGATCTGTTGCAAATCAACACATTATGGAGATATATTAGCATTTTAATGATTTCTACTGACACTAAATACTAGTGCGATTAAAATAATTTACACCAACATTATGTACATGTGTGAATCATCAATCTAAGATCATACTGATTTAAAATTAAAATGTACACTTGTGGTATGCAATTTGGGTTACAAATAGCTTAATTTCAGAATGTTTTTGTCTTATATATTGATGCATTTTGAAATCATAAATATTATTTTGATATAAAATAATTAAAATTTTATTTTGATATATAAAATACTGAGTATATTTAAATCTTAATTAGCTAATTTCCCAATTTTATTAAAGAGAATGGCGTGCAAATCCCCTCCTCTATTGTCGAATGTCGATCAACAAATTCAACAGTCAACATCACCAACTTGCGGGTCCTCGAATTTCTCGTCTCCTTGTATCCCATTAGCTATTGTCCACTCGTATACCTATCCGTTGTGACCAAGGTTTGTGCTATGTCTCCCCAATGGGAAAAAAAAGTTCTGGATTATGCTATGTGTACCTCAAGGTTTGTACTCCAATTTGTACTCCGCAGTTTTGCACCAACACTTTGTGTTGGTGTAAAACTAATTTTTGTTAAACGCACCAACATTTGTGTCCGTGTGAATTTTTATTAACGCACCAACACTTGTGTCGGTGTAAACCATCGAAATGTTTGTGCAAACCTGTGGTGTACAAATGGGGTATATTTTTTGGTGTAAGTGTAGCATAGTCCATTTTAAAACTGTATAAAAAGTTTTATAAAATAAAAGGTTACATGCGTGTTTTATTTTTTAAATGATCAATGTAAATACATACACAAAGAAAGTTATCTAGAAACTTAATACTCCATAATTTAGAAAGATTTTTCATTTAGAATAAAGCTACTTATACACCAAATATTGTACACCATGTTTTATGTCATAGAAGTGCACCGACACTTTGATGGTTCACCCTGACACAAAATACTAGTTGATGGATGCCTAATATTTTCTCCTAGGACTATTGATCGGTCCAGGTCCAAATATTAGTATTCATTCCTTATAACAGTAAGAAAGAAAGAAGGAAAGAGTGATGGATCGTGAATAAATGCACAGCACACAATAAATTAACTCAAACCGGGGGCTCTTTCTGTATTCGGTCCACCTTTGGATCGGAATACTCTATAGGATCACCAGATATTCTTTTATTACTCAAGTCTTTCTTTCTCTCTGTTACCAGTTATCTCTACTGTCTAAATTCTTTCTCCTTTTATAGGAGCTTTCCCAGCCACCATCTTATCAATATATTTGCGGTGGTTGGAAAATTATCTGGGAAATCCTTCTCTTTCCCAGAAATATCTTTCTCAGCTTAAGGCCATTCACTTGGGGACAAATGTGTCCGTCCGACCGATATTCTCTATCCATCCTGTCCTAGAAATAATCGCCCGTCCCTCTTAATAGGACGGCGTACCCTAATTCATTGGTGGGGGTCTCTTCCTTTGGGCGACCCGGCCTTAATGGGCTGGGCCCCCCGTCTTCCTTCTTCCACTGGCTTGCCTCTTTAGTTGGACAGATACTCTTACCGGCCCACTATATTATCTCTGGACTGGATTTTTTTCTAAGGTATAGATCCTAACTTGGGCTTTGTACCTATCTTAGGCCCAAATACTTTCTCGATGAGCTTGGTTTCCATCACATGCTCCTTTTTTTTGCTCCAGTAAACTTTATATCTTTATAACATCTCCTATGAAGATTCTCCTTTTGGAAACGCCAATTTGTGAAAAACCATTCTGCAACGATTCTTGTGGATGTTCCCCATTGATGGTCCATCCTTGCGGGCGATAGGGGAATGGACCATGCTACATTCACACCATAGATTATACACCATTTGTACACCACACTTATGCACAAACATTTTGACAGTTTACACCGACACAAGTGTTGGTGCGTTAACAAAAATTTACACGGACACAAAGTGTTGGTGCGTTAGCAAAAATTAGTTTTACACCAACACAAAATGTTGGTGCAAACTTGTGGGGTACAAATTGGGATATAAGTGTTGGGGTACACATAGTTTAATCCTAGGGGAATTATTGGCGTCAGTGGGACGCACATGCCAGCACCTTTCCCATTGGACCGTAGTGACAGTGGACAGTGGACTGTTTCGCAGTGGACTGTTTGGCATTTGGAACGGCAGTGGCAGTGGACCATTTGGTTCTTGTGATCATCCCAGCCCCACCACAATAATGAATGGACCGTTGGGATTGGCAGGTTCCTTTTGGAGTCTCTGTATTACCACAACTGTACCTCGACAGGCTTTCTCTCTTCCCTTTTATATGTATACGGTTTTTTTCTTTTCCTCCTCCTCACTTCTCTTAGCGATCCATACTTCCTTGCCTTCATTTTATCTATCTCGACTCCATCTTCTCTCCTATCTCTTTCGGTCAAGATGAAGAAAGCTATGTCCAAGGCCAACAAGTTCTTTGATGGCGGCAAGAAGTCTAAAGAGGAGGAAAATGTCTCCTCCATCACTGAGCCTCAACTTAGAGAGATGAGGGAGATGATCCCCCTCGGCTACAAGGTCCGTCCCGCTAACGAGACCACTTTGGAGTCGAACCATAACCCTTCCCGTCCCCTTATCGTCCACTACAATTTGGTAAAGATGGGATGGTGTTTTCCCATCCATCCCTTGTTGGTGGAAATTTGCAATCGTTACTCCATTCCCCATGGCCAAATCTCTTCCAACTCCCATGAATCCATCTTCTGTTTTATGGCTCAATCCCACAAGAAGGGTATCGAGCCTAGCCTGGACCTTTTCTTTTCTCTCTTCCGCCCTCACAAGTATGACCGTGATGGGGGCAGGGGCTTCGTGAGCTTCACGGCTTGGATGGACATGCAATTTCTCGAAAGCCCGTCTGACAAGATAGACGATTGGTTCTGCCGCTTCTTTGTGGTGATGGCCCCCGAGGGTCTTCCTTTTCCCAATGTGTGGAGGAAAAAGGAAGATAAATTCCCGTCTTAGACCTTTCCTCCACGCTCTCCCGCCCTTGAGGAGATCTTCAAACTCCTCCTCAAGAACGGCCACCCGGTTCTCCGCAACCTCATTTCCAAGAACTGTTACTTTCGGGGTCTTGGGTTTTGGGTGCACCCCGATGCTCTCCTTCAAGCAATATCTGGGAACACCGTTTCTTCGTGGGCTCCTCCACCCAAGACCACACGGTTGCGTCAGGGATCACGGCGATCCTCCTGGAGAGATCCCTCTCCAAAGGAGGATATTGAAGGAAAAGAGATTGGGACCGCCACTGGAGACCCAACCCTTCAAGGCGGTCCACCAAGATGAGGAGATGGATGACTCTAAGGACGACAACAGCTTCTATCATTTTTCTCATGGGCTCTTAAGGGCCCAAATTTTATCCCAGGCGTGCCACAAACCTCTCTCTATGGCAGGGGGGTTTCTTCTTCTCCTCATCCTGCTGGTTCGATGGGTTCTCATCCCCATTGGAGTGGGATCCATCCCATTGGTCGGGCCACTGGTTCACAGGGGTTCCTTGAACCGCCCCACGTTCAAGTGGATGGCCTTGGGCTCCATTGCAGCCTGGAATTATCTTGGCACTTTTCCCCCTCCTTCGGCTGTGGTAGGGAAGATGTCATGTAACAGTCTAATTCGTATAACCCAGAATTACACGTATTAAGGTGAAACCGGAGTTAAATAAAAATTTCGCTTGACATTTGAAAATGACAATTACTTATAAATGTTAAATTTATCGACTCAGGATCGTGACCCATTTAAAAGTATTTTCATAGTGACGCGGAAGTACAATAATAATCAAATCATGACAATCTGAGAAATGCCTCTTGGAGGAACAATTGGAACGATAGATTACTCTGGACAGACCGTTCTCCTAGTGATAAAACTTTTTTAAGTGCTCCACATTCCAGTAGTTGTCAAATGTCTTGTTATCCATTGTAGCTAATTGGTAGGTTCTAGCAAGAATAACCCTTTCTACGCGGTATGGCCCTTCCCAATTCTTGGCAAATTTTTTCCCTTAGTGGGTTGGCTCTTCTCTCTTTTCCTCAAAACCCAGTCCCCTACCTCAAAGGCCTGATGTAAAGTTTTCTTGTCATGATATCTCTTGTGTTAGTCGTTGTGCCCACGTCTTAGAAGGGGGTGAATAAGGCGTTTAAAAACTTTTCGGAGTTTGATGAAAACGGTGTTGGCAAATGCGGAAGCAATAAGTAAAACACAGAAATAAAAGCGTTAAGTAAAAGACACCGATTTTATACTGGTTCGGGAAACCCCTACTCCAGTACCTTAAGGCTCCTTCTTAAGGATTTCCACTAAGTCCCGATCTCTTGAGCTCCGTCAAAGCACCACACTAGTTTGGGCAAACAACCCTTTCTAATAGGATTCACTCCGAGTTTTTACAACGGCTATCTCGAACCGTTTACAATAAAGATTTCACGGCTATCTTGGACCGTTCCCCCCCCAAGGATTTACAAGGCTATCCATGAACCTTCTACCCAAGGATTTATACGGCTATCCTCGATTGTTACAACGTGAGAATTTAACGGCTATTCTCGACCGTATAAAGATGTGTTTGAAGAACACAAACAAGGGTTCTACACAACGGCTTGAATATAAAAATAAAGAACAAACTTAGACGGTGTAGAACGAAATTATACTCTCTCAAAAATACAATATAAACTTATGAATATGAGAGTATATATCTAAAACACAAGCTCAAAGTGTGTGTATAAAAATTAGGAATTTAAGACTCTTAAAATAGCCAAAATTTTGAAAATAATGAATAAAAGAATGAACACACTTATAATATAAAGAAAGAATGTTTGGAGCTTTGTTTCTTGTTGAAATTTGAAGGATTAAGCTTTTATTTATAGTGGAAAAAGTTATTTAGCCATTGGAGACAAATTTGGAAAGATTTTGACTAATTAAATGTGATTATATTTGAAATTTGGAATTTGAATTTTTTTCTCCAACAGTAACGGTAGGGGGTACCGTTGAAACAGTATAGGGTACCGTTACAATAGTGTTTAGGCTGTTTCTCTGCCGTAACGGTCAGTTTCTGTTGTGTGGTCACGGTAGGGGGTACCGCCATAGTGTAAAAGGGGTTGATCTCCATTTTTATGCTCGGTACCTACATGCGGGTTACGGTAGGGGGTACCTTCTCAGGTTGACTCATGGTACCCCTTACGGTAGAGGGGTCCCGACCTGACGGTAGGGAGTACCTTCTCAGATTGACTCACGGTACCCCTTACGGTATAGGGTACCTTTTGACTGTTTTGATGATTTTTTATATTTTTGTTCAAATCATTTCCAATTTTGTTCAAAACCTTTTGGATGTTTGGAAATGATTATAAGAAGGTTTTAAACATATTTTGGGAGTGCTTTTGAGCTTGTGAATATAGATATATAAAGTCATATCCTTACATCGTTTCTACCTATATTCTACGTTAGTTTAATGTTTCGACTTTATTCTTGAGAACCGAATCTTAATGGATTCTTGTTGTACCTGAAACACTTAAGCAAACGTTAGCTCTTATATTGTTTGTTAACATCAAAACATGAGGCTTAGCAAACCAGGGCTAACATCTTGGATTGTCGCTGATACTCTTCCATTTTCATCGCTGCTTCATCCCTTCTCTCTTGATGGAAATGGGCATCCACCTCCATCAGTTGCTCGTTGAGGCTTGGGTCGTATGCCTCCACTCTTGCATTAGGAACCAAACTTCTGTTGGGACTTTCGCCTCAAAACCATAGGTTAAGGCAAAAGGAGATTCCCTGGTGGCCCTCCTTGGTGTGTATCTATGGGCCCATAGGACATAGGATAACTCTTCCGCCCAAGAAGTGGCTAATTCATGCAATCTTTTCTTGATGCCATCCACTATTGTCCTATTGGCGTTCTCTACCTGTCCGTTGCATTGTGGATAGGCCACGACTGCTCGACTAAGTTTGATTTTCCATGCAGCACAAAATTCCTTGAAACTTGTGCTGGCAAGTTGATCGCCAACTGCCCTCTCAATGCCTTCTGGGGTCCTGAATTTAAGACATAAATGTTCAAGGGATAGGGCCCCTCCCAAGTCTTCCAATCCAGGTCTCCCCAGGATGGCATTGTGGGCGCACTTGATGTTGACTACTACAAAGTCCATCTCGCCAGGATGACATTGTGGACGCACTTGATGTCGCACATGAGGATCGTGTGAGAACACACTAGTTGGAATCAATCGAAAAAGAAACAGAGGGGATTGCCAATAGAAAAAAAAATCTATTTTGCTTTGATACCACATAATAGAACAGATGAAGCTTAATTCATTCATTATGAGAAGCAACATATATACACGCACATACAGTTACCGATCCTATTCAGTAGGAGACAAGTGCTAATGATAAGGAGATGTACAAGGGATAAACATATGATGGTTAGGAATTAATCTATACAAAGAGGAATAAATAATATTTATGGATTATCCTTAATATCAACAACGTGAAGGAAAAGCAATTTAATCTTCCACGGAACGAGAGTGCACAAAAGAGAGATGAATCAGATTGATATCTTTAGTTCTTCAAATTAAACGTCCGGAACTTGAGCACCTCGCTGATTTGAAATTGGGCTGCTAGCACGTTCTTGGAGCAAGAAAATGTAGTAGCTAAAAGGTAAGCTCAAATAGTGTTGGTGTAATCAACCATTTAGCATTTGTTTAGTTGATTAGTTACATAGTTTGTTAGTTAGTTAGGAAGATATTTTTGGTTGTTACTTGTTTTTCATTTTCTATATATAGGACTTAACCATGTAATACACAATTTGAGCTAGTTAGTACAATTTGATCCTTTCATTTCCAACATGGTATCAGAGCAGTTTGCTATAGCTCCAGCAATCTGACTCCTTATCTTCCATTTTTACGCTTCCCAATTCTTCCATCCTTATCTTCAATTTCGATCCTAGAGATTTCCGTCTACAAAGAAGCTGAATCGTCAAGCAACCATCTCATCACCGAGCTACGGTTGCAATCTGTTTCAATCGCCGTCGTACGGCTCAGCCGACTATCGGCGCTGCTGCTACTGCAATCGTTTCCGCAGGGAATTACTCCTCTCAAGCTTCCGCCCAGAAATTGAAGAACTCCAAATCTGGAAAAAGATTATCTCTGGAAATCTCGATGCTATTGAAGATGATTGAGTAAAAGAAAACTCAATCCTCCATTTTCCGGCGACGATGAAGAATCTGATTTGGTCTGAGCCCTAGACGGCTGAGCCGTCTCGATCTCGATTCAAGTCATTCATGTACGATGAGGCGGTGGAGTTCATGGAGAAGGTTTTGTCTTCTATGTCTGAATCTGAGGAATTGAGTGTGGAGGAGCGCAACCTTCTCTCCATAGCCTACAAAACATCATCGACACTTGCAGGGCTTACTGATAGACTATCTCCTGCATCTGCCTCTGTATTTCCCAGCGCCTATCTGTCTATTAATCTCTCCAAATCAGGTTTCATCACAGTTGATCCATATTGATCCTGTTCATTGTGTTGGTTCTCAAATTGAGTATCCAACTTCATTTTCATTCTCATGATTGGAATGTTTAGTTTCAGTCATTCTTTCACTTCTGTAATTCAGAAGTTTCATCATCATTGTTTCAGTTTCACTCAATTGAGTTTTACTCAGTCGGTTTGATTGAGTATCCAATTTCATTCTCATTCTCATGAGTCATGATTGAAATGTTTCGTTCAATCATTTTCCTTCACTTCTGAAATTCAGAAGCTTCATCATTATTCAATTTCACTCAATCGGTTTGATTGAGTTTCACTCGTATCGTTTTGATCGAGTTTCACCCTCATCATCATCATCCGGTTTTCGGTTGATTTCATCAATTGCTTTTGTCAATTGATTTCATTTCATCCTTTGATGGTTTCGTGTGAATTCATCAATTGATTTGTCATCTCATTTTCATCATCGGTTGTGTATGGTTCATTTTCCGTTCATTTTGGAGAACCATCGCAACCATCACTAGCTCTTTACACTTTCAATCTCTCTCACTTGAAGCCGCTACTCTGCATCTGAGCCGAAGAAGAGTTATCTGTAGTTATCAACCTGGGGTAAAGAGAAGGAAGCTGCTGAGATGAACAAGAGGTCGTTCAAGTATGCCTGGGTTCTTGACAAGCTGAAGGCGGAGCGTGAGCATGGTATCACCATTGATATTGCGTTGTGGAAGTTTGAGACCACAAAGTATTATTGCACAGTTATTGATCCTTGGAACCTCACAGGCAGGTGCTGTTCTCATCATTGACTCCATCACTGGAGGTGTCAAACACAAGATGCAGTAAACTTCACAGAGAAAAGTTTGTTGTTTATGCATGGTCAACAAGGATCTTATTCAATTGCAAGTTGAAGTTGTTCCCACCTTCAACTTGAGGGGGGGTGTTGGTGTAATCAACCATTTAGCATTTGTTTAGTTGATTAGTTACATAGTTTGTTAGTTAGTTAGGAAGATATCTTTGGTTGTTACTTGTTTTTCATTTTCTATATATAGGACTTAACCATGTAATACACAATTTGAGCTAGTTAGTACAATTTGATCCTTTCATTTCCAACAAATAGGGGTTTGGGTTAGAAGCCATTCAAATAGGGATTTTGTCATTAGGTTATAAGAGGCATCTTAATGTATTAATAGGTGCGATCTTTCCTGAAGTTTGAGTGAAGGGCTATTATACGAATGTTAGGAGATTTTGTCCGTACTGCAAAAAAATATCTCTGTGCAGTATTTGCTGCTTTATATTGCATCTGCATATGTGACTTAGAAGATGGTACAATACTCTTTATGGCATCTGTCTCTAGGATAAGTGCTATGGCATCATCTCCATCACTCTTTTATTTATTCCTTAACCTATGGTTTATTGGTGAATTATTTTGAATTGGGTATCATTGCTGCAATCTGGATATTTCACAAGGATACCCCGTCAGTGTTACAAAAGTTTTTTCACTTTCTTATTTCCATTTGTCCCAAAACTAATTTTATACTTTTTTCTCTTGATCCTTTTAGAAAAATATTTGTAGTACGAAATGCTTTATTAGAGTGCAAAATAATACTAATTTTTTTAAAAAAAAATTCCAGAGAATGAAGAGAAGAAACCAAAGAAGATAGTTGATGTTGGATGTGGAATTGGAGGCAGTTCTAGGTTCTTAGCAAGGAAATATTCCGCCAAATGTCAAGGCATCACTCTTAGCCCAAACCAAGCACAGAGGGCTCAGGCTCTGGCTGATGCCCAGGGACTGGGAGAACAGGTTAAAGTTTTTATTCTATTTTATTTTATTCATGGCTAATTTATGAAAAATTAAGGGCTAATTATAAATATATACTATTGGACTAACCAGAATATTAAAAAAAAAAATGCAAACCCGCCACAGGTTTCTTTCCAAGTTGCAGATGCGCTAAACCAGCCCTTCCCGGATGGAGAATTCGATCTCGTCTGGTCCATGGAAAGCGGAGAACACATGCCTGACAAAGCCAAGTTTGTGTCTGAGCTGGCAAGAGTGGCAGCCCCTGGGGGGACAATGATAATAGTGACATGGTGCCACAGGGATCTCTCCCCAACAGAAAACTCTCTGCTTCCCCAAGAGGAAGAGCTGCTTAACAAAATATGCAACGCATTCTATCTCCCTGCTTGGTGTTCCGCTGCGGATTACGTTAACTTGCTCAAATCTTACTCTCTTCGGGACATAAAAGTCGCGGATTGGTCTGAAAATGTTGCTCCCTTCTGGCCAGCAGTGATCAAGTCTGCTTTGTCTTGGAAGGGCATTACCTCACTTCTAAGGAGCGGTAATAATAATAATAATAATCATTAACATACATTATTACTACATACTCTTTTTTCTCTCTTTCTAATCTCAAGGTCCGCGGGTTAGAAAAATTTCATTCTTTTTTTTATCTATTCTGATTTTATAATGTACATATATGTGTGCATGAAAAAGGATGGAAAACAATAAGGGGAGCAATGGCAATGCCGCTGATGATTGAAGGATACAAGAAAGGTCTGATCAAATTCACTATCATTACTTGTCGCAAATCGGACGGATATGAATGAGTAAGGCTTGTGATGTCAACTCATCTTTGGTGGATTACATTATTATTAGTCCTCTATTTTTTCTTTTATATATATATATATATATATATATATATATATATATATATATATATATATATATATATATATATATATATATATCCCTTTTCATCATGTATTGAATACTCCTTCCGGAATCTTATTTCTTATTTTGACTGTGCATGATTTTAAATGTAAGATGAAATAATATAATGTTTGAAATTCTCATTTTGCCATGGGTAGTGTATTTAATTTAGGAGAAATGCAAAATAGGTGAATAGTGTAAATTAAAAGAGTGAAAATAGGTGACTGTGCAAGCTAAAAATCTTTATTTTCGAATGAAAAAAAATATGTGGATATTGAAAAAAAATTGGAAGTAGGAAGAATTGGAATGAGTTGGAAAAAATTGAAATGAGTTCAAAAAATTAGAAAGAGTTGGAAGAAACTAGAAGAAGTTCGAAAAACTAAAATAAGTGTGAGAAAACTTGAAAAATTTTGAAAACTTGGAAAGAGTTGGAAAAATTTTAAAAAAGAGTTAAAAAAATGCTTAAATAATTAATTTATTTTATAAATTTCATATTTTATTTAAAAGATGTATACTCTAGTTTTTAAATTTTTAATATCTTGTTATTTCTTTTATGTCATTATATTTTATTCCAAATTGTATTTGTAACTTTTTTGCGACTTACCCTATTTCTTTACTTTTTAAAATCAATATCAATCATATATTTTTTTGTTTTTTCAGTTGTATGTCATTAATCCATGAATTAATACTTTTTACAAATCTTGGTTGAATGAAAAGGTAGACTCAAATTAATATATATATATATATATATATATATATATATATATATATATATATATATATATATATATAAATTCTTCTGTGAATCTAAGGTTCGCGCTTATTTTAAGGTTCGCGCTTATTTTATGAATCTTATTGTATTTGTAGCATAAAAGAATTGAACCTTTGGAAAAATATAAAATATCCACTTGAAAGCCATGAAAAAAGTGAGAAAGTCCGCATTTTAAATGTGAACATTGGGATCATTAAAGCATCACTCATTAATATAATAATGTCTTGGCCAAGAGTTTGAGTTATTTTTATTTCAAAAAATTTCAAGAGTTACAGGAGTCATTGCTTACAAGAGTTTGAGTTGTTTTTATTCTCAAAAATTTCACATTCTCTTTTTATTAGGAAAAGTTAACTATTCTAAAATAATGAGGGAAAAAGATTAAGGGGCATAATAAAAGGCTGAATTGATTCCCTTAAAACCTTTCAGTATTTTGTTTTCCATATGTCTCAAGAATATTAAAAGAACTAGTATTTTTAACCTGTGCCACCCATGGTGTCGATCGAAACTTTTGTTGATCCTGTGAATTATCTGCAGTGTAATATTATTAAATGAGTTTATAGAAATCACCCTAAATAGGACTAAAACATAGAAAAAAGTACCAAAATAGGACTTTCATTTTTTTTCCCAAATAAGACTTTGCAAATGTGGTAATGTGACTTTCCACTATGGTAATGTAGTAGTGTACATGTGCACATTACTATACTTTTTTGGTAATGTATATGACCATGTTTGGTAATGTAAGTCCTATTTCGGGAATAAAAACATAGAAGTCCTATTTTGGTATATTTTCAATGTTTTAGTCCTACTTTGGTCTTTCTCCCATGAGTTTATGAAAATATATGTAATGTGCCCTTTAACACTGTAGATAGACATTAAAATTAAAGTAAAATAAATAATTTAGCATTTAATATTTGGTAATGAAAATGCTTATATAAATTCAAAAGTAAATACCTAAAAGTCTTATTTAAATCCAGAGTTTTTTGAAAGCCTTCGGGGAATACAAAATGTTTAATTGGTGTGGTTGCAAGGATTTTCATTATCATTTAAAACTAATATTTTTAAGATTGTCTTGGTTTTTACTCGTGAAACAACAACATAAAGTTGACCATTAGTGAACTTCAGCCTAGTTAAAAATAATTTAACAAATGACAATGTTTGACATTGACTTTTACTCATAGTAATAAGAAAACATAAAGCGTCATCATCATATATCTTCCTCTTGTCTTCATTCATTATAATTATATATATTATTTAAGATCATATGACAACTTTTCTTTGTCCTAGTTCAACTCCTCTACCATGAAATTATTTTTAAATCTATTAAGTGGATTGTCATATCGGAATGACATACTACTAAACTTCTATAAGGATCGTCTATTTGAATTAAGTAACTTTTCAATCTCAATCAGACATAAGCTCTTTAAATCTTCTCGGAAAATAATAAGTTTTGCAAATAATGGCTAAAATGCAACTAAATTATTCCAACTCATATCTCAATTCTAGAGTTTTGTATACGTACCATGAAATTCATATTGATCTTTATATAAATAAAAAAACTACCTTTTTATAGAAATATCTTGTGTTATATCTAAACTCGGGGTGTATCGGTATTAATCTTAAACTCAAGGAATAAAGCTCTTCGATTTTTCAGGAAGGGAGGATAATCGATATTCTAAATTAGATAATAATCAATTGTCAGATGGTTCAGTTTCTCGGAAGAACTTTTCAGATTTTTGAGGAAAGGTTGATAGTCGATTATCAGTATTCTGATAATCGATTATTGAAGGGTGCATGTGTTTCAAAGGAGGATTGGTAATCGATTGTTAAAAGGGACAATCGATTATTGAAGGTTGTAGGTGTTTCAACGGAGGACTGATAATCGATTGTCAGCAAGGATAATCGATTATTTGGCAGAATTCTAGGCAGGAAGAAGGGTGTTTTAGTGAAGGGGGAGGGGGGGTAAGCCAAGTTGGTGTTAGGAGATATTACACACTCTTATCTTAATTTGGGTGGAATCCAGTATTCAAATAAGATATCAAACACTTATTTAAATAACTAGAACCTAAAACTCACACTCAAGAGAACCATTCTTAAGATATAGAATTAGGGATTTGAATGAAACACACAAAAGAATCACTATGAGTAAAATGGAATATAAGATGATCCTACACCCTGTCCTATGGCTGAATATATAAGCATACAATTGGGGGGAGAAACTACTAATCACTTAAAATAATGCCCACATGCTCATATCTTTTGAGTGGAATGAAATTAGGGGTATGGGCTTGGTTTGTGGGGTTATTAGTTTGTCCCTGAGTGGGGGGGAATGTCAGGGGAAGGAGGGATGAATGTGGGATGGGGTTGATGGCCATAATGGGGAGCAAGGTAGGGTTGTTTATTTGGCTGGGCATTTGTGGTAGTTTGGGGGAAGTTGTACTTGGTCAGGAGACAAAGGAGGTGTGTGAGGGTGTGTAATTTGAATTTATATTGTAGGTTTGTTGTGGGGGTTAATGTTGAGAACTACGCTTGGATAGGGCAACGGAAATATAAAAATATTATGTCCAAACATAGATCCACCCAAGTAGGAGTGGACACGGTACAGTTCCGGAACCGCCGGTTCCAGTACCGCCACCCCATGGCACCGACACCGTGACCGGACCAGCCGGTACCGGTTCTAGGTTCCCGGGGCAGCGGTTCCAGACCGGCCGATTTCGCCCCCCCCCCCCCCTTTTTGCTTTTTTTAAAATTTCTAAAGTGTAAAATTGTAAATTCGCAATTGTTAAAGGAAAGAATGAAAAAAAATCTAAAAATGTAGTTGTTATTTAAATATTAAAAAATAAGTAATACACGAAATGAAGAACAACTACATTTAATATCTTAACGGTTCAAAAAAAGCGACGAGGTAAAAAATCGTAAAGAAACCCTCGAAGGAGCTTATATATCGCTCACCTAAAAAAACTAATTACATATTTACATTAAATAGAAAATGTAAGTGTTAATGTGAATTTAAAAATTTTAAAAACCAAAGTCATAACCCGTTGGGTCGACCCTACCTCGATGACTCTGGGTCATGAACATACAGTTCTCAACCCGACCCCGAATTGACCCGAACCCGAAATTACCCAAACTCGAAGTGACCGAACCCGAACCCGACCTGACCGACTGATTTGCCAGCTCTATAAAAATATTTATAATATTAAATATATATAAGGAATTTCAAAATTATAATATTATTTTATAACAAATTAATAATTTAATATATGAGATAATGAGAATATGATTATATATTTATATGAGTATATATTTATATATTATATAATATGTTAATATATATTTATATTATTATATAAATATAAAATGTATAAAAGATAATAAGAATTGAGAAATAAGATTTAAGAGAATTAGAGAGGATTAAGAGGAAATGAGAATGGTGTGTTACTTTTTTTTAAAAAATGGTGTATTTATAGTGTAGATTGCCCCGGGGCCCCTCCCCCCTCCCCTAACCCCCCAACCCCCCCTCCCCTCAACGGCATTATGGCCGTTTCAGGGGACCCCCTCCCGCTCCCATTAATTTTTTTGCAGGTTGCAGCTTTGTACTGGAGTTTGGATAGCTTGGACAGCAGGAAAAGCAAAAAAAATAGTATGTCGGTACCGGTACCGCCGGTGTCGGTACGGAAATAATGGCACCTGAACCGGTACTGGAGTATAAAGACTATTATTCTACTTGAAGACTATTATAATTCAATCATCTCTTATTTTTTAAAAAAAATGTTTAATGTAATCTTTAAAATAAATTGTATGTTTTTTATTTTATATCAATATTGAAAGAAATGTATTAAAAACTAACTTCATTTTAACTTATCATAAACAAATATTCATATGGAATTTATTTAGAGGTGAAGAGAGTGTATTAATTAAACAAAAATTTTATCATAAATCAAGAAATAAAAAATACTGAATTATCAAATTAGGTGGCATATTACGTGTAAAAAGTGACATAAGTAATGCACATGTTAAATTTTGAAAGATAAAAGTTTCAACTTTTTATATAAAGGATTTATTGAATAATTTTATTTTATTAATTTAATATAAATAATTTATTGAAGTTTTTTATTCTTAATAATTAATTTTTGATAAAAAATTAAAGTTTTATCTCATGTCAACTATCATTCATTAAAGTCTTGCTCAAAAATTAAATGCCACATAATGTATCTCATATTATGCCATATGTATACCTCATATTATGCCGCATGTATGCCTCATATTATGCCACATGTCAAGCTTTTATGCAATGAAGTCTTAAATTTATATATAAAGGGTTTTTTTACATTTTTTATCCTTTTTTATTTTATAAAAGTCAAATAGAGAATTTTTATAAAACAAAGGTTGTCTTTAGTATATGTCTGACATGCACATTTTAAAAATACTTCCTCCCTCCCGGAATTAAACTTCCCAATTTGACGTTTCTCCATTTTTAATATTAGTTGACTAAAGGCTTGATGATCTTATTCTGGTTGTTGCGTATACATTCCCTTGCTAGGATCCTAACGGAGTTAGTTTGATCAATAAGATCATCGATAATAGTCTTCAGAGATAACAGAATCGCATCACTCATTTTGTGGTTCACATAGAGAAGCTTAATATAATGTTCAAGTCAGGGTACTTTTACCTTTTTGATCGAGTCACGTAGTTCACAAAGTGTAGTTTTCGAAGATTTGTATCATAATACATCTTTTGGGTTCAATGGAGAATCGTGAGTTAGGACAAGTTTTCCATGGTTCATTATTTCGATACAAGTAATGGAATTTAATCTTTGCAAGATTGATCAAGTGAGATGTTTCAAGTGCATAATTTACACAACAAGTTTGAGTAATTCAAGGATATGAGTCACAAGATACGAATGTATCGTTGGCGAATTATCGTCACGTAGTTTTCATCCTTTAATGTTTCATTCTTTGGAAATTACTCAATGTGTCGTTTTAGGGATTTAGCCACTTTTGACTTTTTGTCTCAGAATAGAACATGTTTCAGGACAGTGAATTTAACTATTCATGAGTCTCGATATGTCATATTGTTAGTAGATTGTAGTATTGGAAAGTACATGCTTGCCTATAGGCATTCGAAGTTACTATTTTAGCGAATCCACTTTTCTGTACGCATTTTGGCTGGTGATAATTACCTTTCCATCAATGGTCAAGATTTAGAGGCTATATATATATATATATATATAGGGATTGACTCCAGTCAAATGACATCTTTCGATCAGATGACACTTTCGGTCAGATGACATACTTCAGAATGAGCACCACCTTGTTTGAGAATGAGCACCGCCTTATTTCAGAATGAACACTACTCTGAGCAGATTGTGAATGAGTACTAGGTTGTTTTAGAATGAGTACTACGTTTATAATGAACAAGTGTGTGAAAATGAACCTTACGATGTCTTAGAATGAACACCACGTGGATTCAAAATGAACCCTATGTTGTCGTCTTGCTGGCTTGGAATGAACACTACATTGTGATGAGTAGTTGTGTGAGAATGAATCCTACGTTGTTTAAGAATGAGCGCTACATTGATTTAGAATGAGTATTCGTTGTCATCTGACCGAAACATGTCATCTGACTGGAGTCAATCCCTATATATATATAGGGATTGACTCCAGTCAGATGACATCTTTCGGTCAGATGACACTTTCGGTCAGATGACATGCTTCAGAATGAGCACCACCTTGTTTGGGTAGGGTTGGAGTTCATGTGGGCCAAAGAAACCAAGTCCAAAAACAAGTGGACATTTCAAAAACTGGCGTCCCTTTTTCCCTTGCCCCTCCTGAATTTCACACCACTTCTGACCAACCATGTTCGTCCAAACAGACTAATTCACAGTGGTCTCCTCTGATGCCTATCATTGAAGATGTGAATGAAGATGAAGTCCTTTCCCAATCCACGCCATCACCTAAACAGAATGCCCCACTGCCCATTACTATCCCAGATGACAGCCTGGCCTTGGTCCCCTACTCCAATGGTCCAGGGGTCCCAACGCTTGCACCACACCTCCTCAGTAAAGATGACTCCTGGGTCTGCAAACCTTCCTCTGCCTCCACGATGTGCATGGACTTTGGGAAGCTTGAGAAAGAAGATGACTTCTCTTCTTTGTACTGCCATTCCGAAGGCAATGAAGGGGATATGCCTTTCGATGGTTCTGAGCTTCTTCCCTTACAGGTGGATATTTCCTCTTGCAGTACCACCCCCATGCCTTTCAAAAAATACCTCAAACACTCCAAAGAAACTACTCCTCATGCCATGGAGACAAGGAGCAAAAGTTCTAAAAAAGTATCCTCTTTGGTTTCCAAATGCAGCTGATTTTTTGGAACGTCTGCGGGGTGCCCTCTTCCCTTGAAAGACTTCTTTCCCTTAAGAGGATTCACACCCCTTCTTTCTTTTGTATCTTTGAACCAAAAATTTCAGCTTCACACATTTCTTCCTACGGACCTAATTTGGGTTACAGCAACCATCTCTCTTCGGCTAATAACAAGAGATGGATATTTTGGGACTCTAACCTGCTTCATTTGATTAGCTTTGACGACGAAGAGCAAGCTACTCACTGCACATTCTCCATGGTAAACAAATCCAACTCCACAATTATCATCTCTTCTGTCTATGGGGCTCACACGGTGATTGAGAGAAGGCAGCTTTGGGAGAGCTTACAGGGGAGGAGCAACACTAATCAAAATTGGGTGGTGGGAGGTGACTTTAATGCTATTTCTTCCCCTTCAGAATACAAAGGTCAGTGCGAACCAAATGCACTTGGAATGGAAGAGTTCAACTCGTGCATTGAAGCTTGTAATCTGTTCTGTCCAGACCCTTCCGGTGGTCTCTTTACTTGGTCTGGCACAAGAAGCCGTGGGAGAACATGGCGTAGGTTGGATAGAGTGTTGGTTAATCTAGCTTTCCAATCATTCTTTCCTCATTTTTATATTCACCATTTACCCAAAGCTTGTAGTGACCACAAAGCTATTCTCTTCACTTGTCATCCTAGCCGTGAAAGTGGCCCTTCTTCTTTCCGATTCCTGAATGCCTGGATTTACCATGACCAGTTCCTCCAGGTGGTTAAGGATTGTTGGACTAAGACTCCCTACTCTGGTGGCATGCGTGGACTTGTGGCAAAACTCAAAGGTCTTAAGGGATGTCTCAAGGAGTGGAACAAGAAGGAATTTGGCAATATCTTTGAAAATCTTACTAAGGCGGAGGAGTTTGCAACCCAAACCCAATTGTGCTTTGAGGAAGATCCTACCGATGCCAATCGCGAAATAGCCGAGAAGGCAAACGCCAAACTTCTTCTCGCTACTCACAAAGAGGTGGCATATTGGAAGCAAAAAGCTAATGCGAGATGGCTTGAATTTGGGGACTCAAACTCCAAGGTCTTCCATGCCTTTGCTAATGGGAAGAGAAGGAAGCTTGCCATTAATCATATTATTTCGGACACTGGTGTTGGGCTCTCCATTCAATCAGAGATCTGCTTGGAAGCTGCTTCCCACTTCTCCAAGCAGTTTCAGGCCCTTTCCCCCTCCAAGCCTATCCACCCCCTCTCCCAAATCCCTAGTATCATCACAGACAGTGATAACTTGCAGCTCAGTAGGATTCCTTCCTTGGAGGAAGTTCGGCAGGCAGTTTGGGATCTGGACAGTGGCAGCGCCTCAGGACCGGATGGCTTCAATGGTGTTTTCTTTCGTACTTGTTGGGAAATTATTAAAGAGGAAATGCTCAAAGCCTCTCAAGAATTTTTCTTGGGATTTCCAATTCCGCGAGCCTACGGTAGTACTCTCATTTCCCTTATCCCCAAGAAGGATAGTCCCAAACGCTTTGATGATTTCAGGCCCATCTCCCTTAGCACGTTCATGAGCAAGGTTAACACCAAAATCCTCTCCAACAGGCTCAAACCCTTGCTGCCCAAGCTAATCTCCTCAAATCAAGCAGCTTTTCAACAAGGAAAAAGCATGGCTGACCACATCCTTTTAGCGCAAGAGGCAGCTCACAACTTGGACAGGAAAACTTTCGGAGGAAACATGATAATTAAGATTGATATTGCCAAAGCATTTGACACTCTACGTTGGGATTATCTTGAGGCAGTTCTGAAGGAGTTCAGCTTCTCCAGACACTTCATTGGTCTTCTCCTGGCAAACCTTAAAGGCACCATGCTCTCAGTTCTTATTAACGGGCAGCCCACCGGTTACTTTCCTATGTCTAGGGGTGTCAAGCAAGGTGACCCCCTATCTCCTCTTCTTTTCATTATTGCAGGGGAAGGTCTTTCAAGAACGCTCAACAAAAGTTTGGAGGAAGACCACATCCATCCCTTTAATTTGGGTAGGATTAAGATGCCGGGCCATCTTACCTACGCGGATGATATTATGATCTTCACCAGAGGTGATACTATCAACCTTCTAAAGCTTAGGAAAATTCTTGGAGATTACTCTTTGGATTCGGGGCAGGTCATCAACTTCACAAAGAGTAACTTCTTCGTCAAATCTTCTACCCCCTCTTCTCAATTGACAAACATGAGCAAGACCCTTGCTATGGAAGGAGGTTCTCTTCCTTTTCGTTACCTTGGTGCAACAATCTGCAAGGGTATTCTTAGGAAGCCGCAATGTGATCATCTTCTTGCACATTTCGACAAGCACCTACTCTCGTGGTATAGCAAGACTTTGAACCCAATGGGAAGGCTTATTTTAATTAAACATGTACTATCCTCGATCCCCTTACATGTTCTAGTGGTTCACACCATCCCGACGTCGATAATCAATTCTCTTCAAGCCCGGATGGCCAACTTCTTTTGGGGTTCTAGAAATGGTGCAAGGCTTCATCATTGGAAAACATGGACTTCTCTTTGTTGTCCTACTTCTTCAGGTGGTTTGGGCATTAATGACTTGCGGCAGATGCAGCTTCTTCACTCAATAAACTTATGGTGGCGGGTTAACCATGATAACGGTGAGTGGGCTTCTCTCATGAGGGGCATTTATATGAAAATAGGCAACATTAAGGAGAAGCTGACGGACTCCCCAACATGGAAGAGGATCTGTAGGGTTCATGAGTTGGCGCTAAACCATTACAGCAGAAGCCCGAACCTTCCTCTTTGGGACGGGAAACTCTACTCCTCTAAGACAGTACTTAGCTCTATTGGAGATGGTCTCCCTTCAAGACTCTCTTGCAAATATATTTGGCATTCAGCTCAAACCCCCAAGCTCAGAATTTTTCAATGGAAAGCATTCTTTGGCTATCTTCCCTTTCCTGAACTGGCTGCTAGGTTTTCGGCCAGTCTTCCTAGTAGGTGCCCCCTTTGCAAATCCTCTGATGATGCCTTGGATCATACCCTTGCTTCTTGTCCCCTCAGCTTGCAAGTTTGGAGTTATTTTGCAGCCCTCATAGATGCACCTAAACCGTCCTCAGCACTACGACTAAATCAAATTTTCCTCACCTGGTGGTTCAGCGCTGAGTCCTCTTCTCTTAAGGGTATTCTAAGATTAGTCCTGCCGGGAGTTATCTCGTGGCATCTTTGGAAAGCAAGAAATCAAGCCATTTATGACGGATCCACCCCGAGTAAAGATACGATCATTCAAAGATGCTTTTATCACGTACAAGCATGGAGTTGGGCCTCACGACGTAAGAGGTGGCTGGTTAAAGATAGAAGCTTCTCCGATTGGGGGCTCGATCTTTTCTGGATTAATTTTCTGGATTAATGGTAGTAGATTGTTGCATGTAGTTTGACTTTCTTCTTGGTTTTGTACTTGGTCTTTCTTCATTAATAAAAGAACTCTTCATTTATATATATATATATATATATATATATATATATATATATATATATATATATATATATATATATAGGGATTGACTCCAGTCAGATGACACTTTCGGTCAGATGACATGCTTTAGAATGAGCACCACCTTGTTTGGGAATGAGCACCGCCTTATTTCAGAATGAACACTACACTGAGTAGACTGTGAATGAGTACTAGGTTGTTTCAGAATGAGTACTACGTTTATAATGAACAAATGTGTGAAAGTCAACCCTAAAATGTCTTAGAATGAACACTACGTGGATTCAAAATGAACCCTATGTTGTCGTCTCGCTGGCTATGAATGAACACTACATTGTGATGAACAGTTGTGTGAGAATGAATTCTACGTTGTTTAAGAATGAGCGCTACATTGATTCAGAATGAGCATTCGTTGTCATCTGACCGAAACATGTCATCTGACTGGAGTCAATCCCATATATATATATATATATATATATATATATATATATATATATATATATATATATATATATATATATATGTATATATATATATATGTATATATATATATAGGCATTACTTTCTTTGGTCTCTTTCCATCAGTTCCAATAGGACCAACAGGACCAACATACCAAAAGGGCCCAGAGTAACTTTCGGTAGTGATAATTGTTTCCAAAGTTGTTGATTTTTGGCTCGGCCAGTATCTGGTGATCTCACTAACCGTCCCGACTTCGAGGTTGGGGTCGTAGCTTCTAGTTTTGATTGTTCTTGGTGCATTTGGCCTCTTTGCTGATTTTTTGGTACGGCTTCTTTGGACATCTTGAAAGTCATTGGTTTCCTCCCTTTGATGTGATGTCTCCCCTTCTTCAATGTAGGACCTAACTTCGTGTTGTCCGTCAATCTCAAAGGATTGAAGGACCGGTCCTATTGTTGATGGGTTGATACTTTCATCGCTAGTCAACAGTGGAGGAGGGTTATTGCTTTCCATATGATCAGAAGGAATCTCTTCATTTCCTGCACATGAGGGACTTAGTGTTCTTTCCATCTCTTTCTCAAGAGAAAGGGTGTGTTCACCACTAGTAGCTTCCAATAGTTCTTTTGTGAGAACTGGAAATTCCTTTAGGTTGATTGGAGAAGGATCAGAATTGAACTCTTTATTATTACAAGTGTCAATACTGTGTGTGCCTTCCAATGCTGCTTCGAAAGACAGATTGTGTGCGCTGCGGCTGTGATCATTGTTACAAGGTGTAGGAGAATTGGGTTCCATAGTCACCAATATTGGCTCGCTGTTACCACGGGCTGCTGGAGAATTGGCAGTAGGAAAAACTTCACAACCATCAGAGACTTTCTTAACATCAGGATAAGCTGTTGTACAACTCTTAGGAATAATTACATCAAAAACTTTCTTGACTTTATCTGTGTCATCACAAACATTAGGGGCTGAATCAACACTTACGCTAGTAGCTTGGATTATAGTATCAGTTACTATGGTTCCCATGGCATCAACTGGAGCTATTGGGGTAGCAGCCCCAGCTGTATTTGAGTCTTTGACAGGAGAAGCAGACCTGGTTGCTTCATTTTCATCGCTTGAACCACCTAAGTTTGTTTGCAAAGCAATCTCTTGCTTTGTATATATATATATATATATATATATATATATATATATATATATATATATATATATATATTTAAAGATCTTTATTGATAAGGAAAAGAGTTACAATCTCGAGATAAAAAATACACATTCTAAAGCTCAGAAAGAAGAAGAAGCCTTTTTTCCTTTCCTCCAAAATTTATCAATCTCCCAAGCGTCAAAGTCTTTGTCATGAATTAGCCATTTCTTTTGTCGGTGAGTCCATGCCCAAGCCTGAATAAGCTTCCCAATCTGTTGGATAACTGTACGTGAGCTCATTCTGTTTCCATCATAAATAAAGGCGTTGCGAGCTTTCCATAATTTCCATGCGATAATTCCTGGGAGTATAATCTTAAGTGCTCCTTTGAAAGTTTTCAAGTTACCTCTTACCCACCATGAGATTGCATGTTGGCGAAGTAAGAGGTTTGACGTGAGCATGGGAGCATCCACCATGCCTGCGAAATAGTTCCAAACAGT